GACTCTGGGGAAACATTTTTAATAATATTAATAATCTATGTTAGGGGTCACATCAAATTGTAATTTATTTTTTCACCTTTCTATTTTCAATGATAAAAATGATGTATTAACTGAGCCATAACTTCTTCATTAAAAGCCTATTCTTACCTCCGCAAGAGCGTTTCGATGAAGTGGATGGACGTCCATCATCTGGGCTCTGCAACTCCCTCTTCTTGACAGCCGGACATGTGGATACAGAAACAGAAAACTCAGAAGACTGAGGGGTGAAATATCCTGGAAGCTCCTGGATCAGTGTCTGGTTCGGGTCTGGCAGCGGATCCTGATCACGACGATCATCAGAACCGGGTCTCCAAACCTCCTGACCGTCTTGCAGACGTCACATAGTAGGAAATGTTTTAATAATAATCAATAATGTCAGTGGTCAACTACAAACTGTTACTATAGTTACTCTAATTGAAAAGTTTATTTTTAAATAGAAGGAATCAAATACATGTGATAACATAGCTGGTAAAATTGGGGGATCAAAATGGGTTACCTTCACATTAATTTAGACAATTTATTTTATATGAAAAAGTGAATAATTGTATTTTATTAAGAAAATATTTTGGTTTGACTTGAATATTTTTTTATTAGATCAGATTTTAAGCTGTTATATGGTGATGTTACAATGTATCCTGCGTATGGGGCATGTTGTCACATTTCACTTCCATTTTTTCAGGGTAAATCAAGAAAAAAGTATACACTCTATTAAAAAAACAAAACCACATAATTGTACTAGACATGTGGGAAATTAATGTGTGGGGGAAAAATTCTCTAAACCCCAAGCAGATTTACACAAATTAACAAAGTCAAAAAGTGTTATGTTGTGCCCCGTTCTCCCCTACATCCCCAGTGAAAAGAAGGCTGATGTTGTGTCAAACCTGAAAGCAGAAGTTAACCTGCTTCAATCTCAACACCCAGAGGATCACATGCAGACAAGATGACGAGGATCCCTGATGATGGTGATGAAATAACGTTAACTGGATACTTCCCATCACTCAGAACCAGAACAGTTCTGAATGAAGTGGACATACATACGGGGGTAAAAATAAGTCTCATAAGACCCTTGAGTAAACGCTTGTGTGTTTTGTGTCTTAATTAACCTTTTCCACACACATATAAATTATAACTTGTACTCATCGCTCTGTCCATTTCAGCAAATGACGATTTGTGAAGGCCTCTCGCTCTCTAGCTGTTGCTTTGGTGCTTGTCAACATAGATATGTATATAAAGGCTAGATATGTTGTCCACGCTGCTGGCCAATGATGGTCGGCGTCTGCACCTGGCGGCCATCTTGTCACAGGCAGCTCGCTCACTCGTAACATTGTGTTAATGGTACACGTACTATTTAAATGACCATAACTTACTCAATTTTCTACCGATTTTCAAACGGTTTGTTTTGTTATAAACGTCAGAGATGTAGTTATGACACTGCATACTTATGAATAAAAATTGTATAAATAAATAATCATCCAGATAATTATAGCCACGTTAATAACGTTTGTAAGAAACCAAACCGTTTGTAAATCCGTCAAGATTTCAACGAGATAAGAGTATTTGTGTTCGTGCTGACCACTCATCTTACATCAGCTTGTCTGTGACAAGATGGCCGCCGGTGATGACAATGGAAACTCCGCCGTAACACTTCTAGCCTTTATACATATCCATTGTCAACCTTACTGTCTATATGTTGTCAACACGCGCTTGCACCCCCTGCTGGTAAAGCCGACTAACAGTAGATGGAGAATATGCTCGGCAATCTACTGCTTTTCCTGCAGTATTTACTGTAGAATTTGAACCACTGAATTTGAGGAAGCAAATTTTCAAGGCGAAATAAAATGAACCGAAAATTGCCTGTTGAATATTATATGTATATTGTATTTTTAAACAGAAAATTTTGGAAGTGAAACATGAAAGGTGAATATGGATTATTGCATTTTTAATAATGAAAATGTGTTTGAAATGTTTTTAATTGAAATATTCACAGCTTAAATATTCAACCATGTTGAGTTTCAGCCCATAAAAATGCAAGCCTTAAAAATACAATGGATTAAAATGCAAGCATTTAACGCAATTTTTTTCAGTTCGTGCAATTCAACATGCTTTTTGTTTTAAAAATATTTGACATTGTTATACTTCCATAAAAAAGACAATAATGTTTTACTTGAAAATTGGAAGAAAAGTTGGTAGTAGTTTATGTAAGCTACGAGGCGTAAACCGGCCGACGCGCAGCGGAGGACGGTTGCCTCCGCCGAAGTCCATTAAAACCTGACAATGGACACCTCGGAGGGCATTAACCCGCTTATACCATGGTCACTTGCCAAATAAAACATTTTTAAAACATTAGTTTATATTTTAATTAGGCTAAATCTAGTTTTTACAAATAATAACTTGCCTTGCCTGACTGTTTATTTAGCAACCGGAGATATTTATAGTCCGCTTAGCTCGTATCCCTTCGGGTTCACAAATGCTTTTTTTTTTTTTCATGAAACACAAAGGTAGGTAGGCATAGTTTTTTTTTTTTATTACACATAAAACAATTAATCAAACAACAATAAAAAAAAACCTAGCTCTAAATTAATCAGATCAAAGAGAGGGTCATTTGCCTCATTCTCCTTAGGCTTGAAACGCTGTAACGTTCAGCCTTCTCCTGCCTTGGTTGTCTGGACAGCTGCGTAAAACTCCCGCAGGGTCTCATTCAGGGGTGCGTTTCCCGAAAGCATCGTTATCCAACTATGGTCGCAAGTTACGTCGTTACCAATAGCGTTCAATGGAGCAGAGCAGCAGCGATGTAATTTTCTCCGTTTTATTTACATTTTTTCTTTCTTCAGCAGCATACCAGTCGTCAAAGTTGCCATATTCTCCATAAATGTTAAAAGAAATAGCACGAAGTCGCTCATTGTTGTATTAGGCTATAATATCTAACTTTAGATGATAGAGCATGTGACTGCCTGTTGCTATGGTTACTCACAGCCGTTGTAGGCAGCGCATTTATTTATTAATTTCGAATGGTAAACAGGCAGTTTCACCAGAACTACTTTACTAGGTGTCCTCTATCACTTTTTAACGGACACCCTGCAGCCAATCAGAATCGAGTATTCACCCAGACCATGGTATAAAAAAGGGTAATTTTACTCAAACATGAACAGTAAATACATGGAAATAAAGTTTTTGCATTTAACTTGTATCTGCACACATGACTGATGAAACTAGAACAAAACAAATGTTAACGTTTTAAAATGGCAAAATCTAAGAAAAACAGTAAACTAATTTAAAAAAGTATAAAACATCTTTATTCTTTTTTTTAAAAAAAAGTGTCAGCACATGATGGTGTCTGTATACTTCTGCAAACTTAAGATTTTTTTTCTCAGATATTTTAGAAAAATGTTTTTTTCTTAGATATATTTTTTTTGTTAAAAACACTGTTAATGAACAGTGATTGTTAACTTTCATTAATATTATTTTTTCATTGGTATAATAATGCATGAATGTCCGTTGGAAGGTAAAACACTTCTAAACACGCACAAAGTGTAAAGAACCGCTCACGGTTTGGCGTTTGATAAGATTTACACAAAATAGATAAAGCTGATCAGTTTCGGCCATTTCCAAGGAAGAGAAAGACAGGGATGAATCGGGGTTATAAAACGAGCTCAGCCTAAATCTTCTCAGGAACCCAAGTCTGTTTTTTATTGACAAACTCAAAATTCACATAAAATTAAGAGCATTAGACAACACAGAAAAACTCTTTAACTGAAAATATGTGTGGCTCTTAAAAGAGCCTTTAGGGTAGTTTAAGTCTGGCACGCCTCACTTCGAGCTGGTGTATTTGGTGACGGCCTTTGTGCCCTCGGACACGGCGTGTTTGGCCAGCTCTCCGGGCAGCAACAGACGCACGGCGGTCTGGATCTCTCTGGAAGTGATGGTGGAGCGCTTGTTGTAGTGCGCGAGGCGAGACGACTCACCGGCGATGCGCTCGAAGATGTCGTTGACGAAAGAGTTCATGATGCCCATCGCCTTGGAGGAGATACCGGTGTCAGGGTGGACCTGCTTCAGGACTTTGTAGACATAGATGGCGTAGCTCTCCTTCCTGGACTTTCTGCGCTTCTTTCCTCCCTTACCGGCGGTCTTGGTGACGGCCTTCTTGGATCCCTTCTTAGGAGCGGATTTTGCTGGTTCAGGCATGATGATGCGATATCACTGACGAGTTAACGTAAGCAACAGTGCGACACAGAGGCATTTATTCACTGCTCTATGCTAATGTCCAAAGTGTTAGGGAAATATCTGATTGTCTGTTTTCATAGACCAAACCCACACATTTACATTTCATTGGACAGCTTGAGAGGAGCGAGGACCAATCACAGGTGTGGATAAGATATAGTTCCGCCCACCGTCTCATGTTTGAACTACATACACACTTCCGCCAAGTTTCATTTGTTCCGTTTCCCGCTCTTTTTATTTAGTAATATTTTCTGAGGAAAATAAGCGGTTCTAATATTGTGCATGATCGTGTAATTTTAAAACTTCTTATAAACCCATTGAGCGAGTTTTGGAGAAAACGGACCAATAATGGTCAGATACACTTTAAAAACATCATGTTTAAAAACAGAAATATATCTTCGTTCCTTCATTCTCATTCCTGCTAACTGGTACCGTTTTTATATAATTACTTGTTTTTCTTGTTGATTTTGTGGAAAAGCGTTTGTGGACAGGATTACTGTTTAAAACAAAAATGTTTAATTTAGGATTTATTACATTAAAAGTAGAAAAAGGTATCGATATTCTCGACCCATTGACTTACTGTGAAACATTTATGACTTCTTAAATGTGATGTGATTGAGAAAACAGAACTTCTGAAACTTTAATTCATTGATTTGACATGAAACATTGACTCTTTATGTGTCAGAGTGTGTGGCTCTTAAAAGAGCCTTTGGGTTTGTGTGGTTTGTCCTGGTTTCAGGCGTTTATCCCCCGAAGCCGTACAGGGTGCGTCCCTGTCTCTTCAGCGCGTACACAACATCCATGGCGGTGACGGTCTTTCTCTTGGCGTGCTCGGTGTAGGTGACGGCATCGCGGATCACGTTCTCCAGAAACACCTTCAACACTCCGCGGGTCTCCTCGTAGATCAGACCGGAGATGCGCTTGACGCCGCCGCGGCGAGCCAGACGACGAATGGCGGGTTTCGTGATTCCCTGGATGTTATCGCGCAAAACTTTACGGTGCCGCTTAGCGCCTCCTTTCCCGAGTCCCTTACCGCCTTTGCCTCTTCCAGACATGTTTCACACTGAGCGCTTCAATCAAAGAACGAAAGGCTACAAATGAGTACTGACTGTATTACAAGGAAGTCTTTTACATGTGTTTACAGGACCTGACAGAAACCAGCTCTGCGTCACATGACTCACACCCCTCCCCCAAATATATAGTTAGAGGCGAGCACATGTGATTTAATTCCAACCGTAACCTTTGTTTCATACTGCAATTTGTGCAATTTATTTCACAAAGGTGAAATTCCATGGGTTCAATTATGTCTATCAGAGATTAGGAAAGGCTTGACAAATAAAGAAATGGTAATAGCTGTCTTTCTTTTTTGATATCTATATGCTGTGGAAAGAAGTAATCCTTACAAAACAAAATGAATTGGTTCTAGAATGCACTTTGTAGAAAACAGAACACTGCAGGTAGTGTATGTAGTCCACTGATATTTAATATAAGGACAAATGAAATTTTTGAACAAGTTGAACATGGTATAGGAAAATCATTATGTGGCGAATGATGGGACCCTTAGGGGTCGACATCTAGAATAAAAAACTTGAGCAAGTTAGGGTGATTCGATTTCTTGGAGTTTTATTTGATAGAAAGCTTACAGACAACACACTGATAAAATGAAAACAAAATGCAAGAAAATTCTAAATATATTGAATGTAGCTAGCTGTGTAATTGTACATGAAGTGTTTTGTAGTTTCTTAGCAAAAAAGAAAACAAAAAATGCCTATTGCCACACCTGCTTTTTGCTGTATAGTTTCATTTTACCTCAATTTTACCTTTTTTTTTATGTTGTATTTGCACTATTTGGAAACCCTCATACTCGGGGAATGTAAGGCCTTAAATATAGCTCTCTGTATAGACCATTTCACAAGATGTAAACAACACTGGTCCAGAAGCACTTCCTGTTTCAGTTTGTAACTGTTTTCTTTATTTCACATGTAAAGAAAACATCTTAAAGATGTTTGTTTAACTTTTTGATTCAGTTTTAAATGTTCTGTTGGTTGTATTTTATCCCAGCTTTTATGTAGTGTTAAAAAACTGAAACAGGAAGTGCTTCTGGACCAGTGTTGTTTACATCTTGTGAAATGGTCTATACAAAATGACCAATTCAACCCCGTAGGCCTGCTTTATCACAACAATCTTGTATAAATTTAACTTACAAATGTATCAAATGAGGAACTCACTCTCAGGCCCATTTTGTCCTTACATTCTTGCTAAAATAATTATAATGCAATAATAATAATTCCGCCCCTCCCTCACTTCCGGTTCTGGCGCTGGGGTTCTGAAACTGGTGGTGCTGCGGGTCTACAGCTGGATATATCTCGTTATAGCCTTCACGAAGGTCTGAGCTACGTCCTTACTTCAACTTGAAAGATAAAGACTAAGAAATATACACTTCTTAAACACAAAACGAGTCCATATTTAATTTCTGGAAGCCGGACTAAATGAGCAAGCACAGTTGCTGTGTTCCTGGCATAGAGAATAGATGAAAGAACATCTCAGTAATCACACTGGTAACTTCTACAGTAAAATCTCATAAGCTTAGAGAAGTCCTTCATCTTGTATGATATTTAGAAGAACAAATATAGATTAATATCTTGATTATTATCACTCGTTAACTATAGATTGAAGCAGCAGAGGATTCAACAATCCACCCCTTCAAAGTATTCACCAATATAGCGTTATTTGATATTATTCTCCGCAAACAGTACACTCATCTCCACTCCCACATGATCACAGCATACACTAGTTTATGATAAAAACATTTTTAAAACACTTCATAACCTACATAGATTGACCTCTGACACTTCCGTTTGATTCTGTAATGACTATTTAGATGTCACAACATAACCAGAACAGACTGATTTCAATATTGTCAGTACTTCTCTGTATGTGGTCCTTTTCACTAGTGATGGCCGGTTCGTGAACGAATCGTTCTTTTGAACCGGTTCTTTTTAGTGAACCGGTCGAACCAGTACACTAAATCGGACTGAATCGTTCGAAACAGTTCGCGTCTTGCGTCAGCGCTAAACCACAAGTTACTAAAGTTACTCACTTTCAGACATGCCTGACAGTCCCTCCGAATCGAAATAAACCAATATCCATTAGTACATTTTATTCCAGTAACTCAAAAACTTCACTGAACGGAGACATATGTTGGTGTTGAGAGAAGTGATGAGCACGAGCAGCTGATACTGCGCATGCGTGTACTACCGAACATACAGGTACAGCGGTCGGATAACCAGTACAGAACCGAGAACTGTTTCTTTTTCGGACACGTTCGACATACTGAGAACTGATGAGTTGATGAGCTGAGCATGCGTGCATTTTTTTCTGAGGGACGAAATGTACGTTTCCATGTCTTTAGTTGAACATCAGTAAGTGTAACAAAATAAAACATTTTGGAAACATGTTTATCACAGTATCACTGTTTTATTTTAACGATTGGAAATAATGATTGGATTCTAAAACTGTCAAACTACTAAACATTTATTATTATACTAAAATAATATTTTCAGGAACAGCTAGCTCATTTAATTTCTAAGTAACAATAAATCATTGATGTAAACTCTTGCCAAGGTTTGGTGCACTAGTAAATGTTTATAATGTGTTAACATAACGAATTAAACATGTTTAATTCGTTATGTTAACACATTATAAACATGATATATATACACTGTATAGGCTACATAAGGCTATATTGGAGACAGACATGCATCGATTTTTTAGTTTTGTGGACTGTATCAGGTTTCAGGTCAGCACACACAGGCCTATGCTATGGTTCTTGAGTCGAGAACTGGTTGTTGCAGTTCTTGAATCACTAGTACAGAACCGAGAACTGTTTCTTTCGGACACGTTCGATACGGAGAACCGATGAGCTGGAGATAATGCGCATGCGTGATAGCACCGTCTCTGAACAGAACTTTCTTTCGGCCGGCTGATCCTCTGGTGATATACGAGCACGCAGTAGTACGGGTGAACCCAGGACTTAAATGAGAGGGCGAATCGGCGAAATGTAAGTTTATTTAATAACAAATAAAATGATGAAGACCATATATGCATTTTATTTATTTAAAACATGTAAAACATCCGCGTTAGCACATCGCCTAGGCTGCAGCAGGGTTCGTTTTCAAAATGTAAATGTAAGAAACTTATCCAAGATGATTATGACAATGCATACTATTATTTAACTGAAGTTGTGATTACAAATGCCCTTTAATTTGAAGTATTTTTATCCGCCGGGATGATAGAATTGACGTCATTACGTGATGACGTAAAAGAACTGGTGAACCGGTTTTTTGAACCGGTTCATTAAAACGAACTGTCCGAAAGAACCGGTTCGCGGAAAAGAACCGGACTTCCCATCACTACTTTTCACATGAGATTAATGTATTCAATGCAGTGCCGCAACTTTTCTTGAAAAGCAAAAAAAGGCGCCACTCTGCTGTTGGTTATTCAGACCTGGAAGTTACTGTAACCATATACCAACTTTAATGTGAATTATCGTCAGCACTACATAATAAATTCTCTCTTTAAATTGAAACTTTAGTGGCTCTTAAAAGAGCCGTTGTGGGTTAAATCAGACGCCGGTTTAAGCGCGCTCTCCGCGGATGCGGCGGGCCAGCTGAATATCTTTGGGCATGATGGTGACCCTCTTGGCGTGGATGGCACACAGGTTGGTGTCCTCGAACAGACCGACCAAGTAAGCCTCGCTGGACTCCTGCAGGGCCATGACAGCGGAGCTCTGGAAGCGCAGGTCCGTCTTGAAGTCCTGAGCGATTTCTCTCACCAGCCGCTGGAAGGGCAGTTTGCGGATCAGCAGCTCGGTGGACTTCTGATAGCGGCGGATCTCCCGCAGAGCCACGGTCCCGGGCCGGTAGCGGTGAGGCTTCTTGACGCCGCCGGTGGCCGGAGCGCTCTTACGGGCGGCTTTAGTAGCGAGCTGCTTCCTCGGGGCTTTACCACCGGTGGATTTACGAGCGGTCTGCTTGGTTCTTGCCATTGCTGTTGTATTCTTCTCTCTGTCCTGCTTGCGCTGGATATGTTACTCTCTGTGTTACACGCCCGATTTTAAAGCATTGAGGCGCCACGAGCTCATCGTGTCGCGATTATGCAGGCCTTGTGATTGGTTAGTAGGTGACGCCTACGCATGAGTGCCAGCCAATGACCGCGCGTTTCCTCTTTTCAAACAACCCGCTCGAGCTGTTTTGTTCCGTTGACTACTTTGGGCGCCTTTACACTTACAACATTGTATTTATTTGTATGTAAGTTCCAGTGGTTGTGCAGATTTCAGATTAGAACAAAAACATTGCAGTCTGTATAAAAGCACTACAGCGAGACACACACTACTAAGGTTTCCATCCTCCCCGTGAAATATGGGAACTGTAGATCAGCCCTGATAATAGACAGAGACGCAGAGGAACATTGATCAACCACCTTGCATATTGCCAGAAGTAAAAGTAGATCTTTGCTTTATTAGGAATGAAGAACAAAGGCATGGGGTTCATTTTTGACTCGTATGATGTACAGGAGTATATTGATAATTATAATAGTTAAATTCAGATTTACACAGATGCATCAAAGAGTTTAGATAATAGAGTAGAAGTAGCGTTTTTTGTTCCAGAGTTTAATATTTTAGCAGCAAAAAGAATCAGTGATAATGTGTCAGTATACACAGGAGAAATGCTAGCAATTGTGTTAACAGTACAGTGGATAGTGGAAGTAAGACCGTTAAGAACTATTATTTGTTCAGATTCAGCATCATCATTATTTATTTTACAGAGCAATCATTAGAACCGATGTATTAATAGAGATTCATCAAGCATTATATAGAATTCAAATGATGGGTATTACAGTTATATTTGTGTGGGTTCCAGCACTTATTGGATTTAAAGGAAACGAAAAGGCAGATAATGCTGCAAAGGTGGCCACGAGACGAGAATACATTGATCTTAACATGAGTAAGACGGAAATGAAGAGCATTATTAAACAGCGTTTGAAGAAAAGGTGGCAAAAGCAATGGGTAGAAGAGAGAAAAGGACGGTGGTTTTATAAAATTCAGTGGAAAGTGGGGGAAATGAGATGTATGGCAAGGAAAAGGAGAGATGAGACAATTATATCTAGACTCAGATTTGGGCATACAGGATTAAACAATACTTTATTTAAAATAGGTAAACATAAACACTGGCAGATGTGAATACTGCAAACAACAAGTGACAATAGAACACGTCATGATACACTGTAAAAAATATGAGGGAAAAGGGAGGGAAATGATCCAAGTTGCCTAAAAGGCATTCAGTTCCACACTCCATACCAGTTGGTGGCAGTAATACACCATTTCATTGTGTGCCAACTGCCAAAAAAATCTAATAGAAGAAGGCACATTGATCAAATCCTTTTTCCCTGAAGCCGACATGTATATTACCCTTTATTAAAATATTCAATATAGTCAAAGCATGGCAACTATATTTTAATATCAGAAGAAATGAATTGGGTGGTAAACATACATTAGGTGAGCATGTTCTTATAGCATGTACATAACGTCAACGGTGGAGATAGACACTGTTGTGTAGGTGGATTATTTTCCTCCTTGACCAAAATTGTTTATAAATATTAAGAGAAAAGCGCTCGTTGACAGATAAAATAGGTGGCTCTTAAAAGAGCCTTTGTTTCAGTAACCGAGTCTGTCCTCCTTTTACTTAGATTTGGCGGGTTTCTCGGTCTTCTTGGGCAACAGCACGGCCTGGATGTTGGGCAGCACGCCACCCTGAGCGATGGTCACTCCGCCCAGAAGTTTGTTGAGCTCCTCGTCATTACGCACCGCCAGCTGCAGGTGACGGGGGATGATGCGGGTCTTCTTGTTGTCCCGAGCGGCGTTTCCGGCCAGCTCCAGGATCTCAGCGGTGAGGTACTCGAGTACCGCCGCCAGATAAACAGGAGCTCCGGCACCAACGCGCTCGCCGTAGTTTCCCTTGCGGAGGAGCCTGTGGACACGGCCGACGGGGAACTGCAGTCCCGCCCTGGAGGAGCGAGTCTTAGCCTTTGCTCGGGCTTTACCGCCGGTTTTGCCTCTGCCGCTCATTTTCAGCTAAATTATCACAGTATGTAGTACTGATCAATGATGGTAGTGCCAGTCTCCACACACTGTCTTTAAACGAGTGTTCCACTCGCCCATTGGTTTAGAGTCTGTAAATATTCAAACCAATCACTGAACTTCCCCCCGAAAGCCCAACCCCGCCCAATCCCTGGCGTGGATTGTTATGCACTATGCACACGTATTAATAATGACATATATACTGTATATGTTTTATATATATATATATATATATATATATATCTCCAAAAGTGCTGCACTTTTCACACGCACACAGTCTGGGCACATTGGCCGTCTGATATTGCTCAGTATTATGTTCCTATTGTAATATTGGGATCTAATCAGTGCCCATATTGTTAAATGTGGGTTGTTTGTATTGTCACAATTCTCCAGCAGTGTATATATTCTGACTTATTTAATGTGATCACTGTCTGAACCCTCCTTGGCTTTTCTTTCTTTGCCACTTACAATACATTTCTTATATAAATAATGGATAAGATTATTTATATATAGTCTTCTTCAAAACTGTTTTGATTTGTTTGTTCAGAATGAATGAGCCCAAAGAGGTAAATATCACACTTGCTTTTAAAATGAACACATATCATTGATATAAACGAGTTTTGCTCTTATTCAGAGTTAGTGGGTGGCTCTTAAAAGAGCCGTTGAGGAACAAACACTGGACTTTATTTCTTTTTGGGCGCTGCCTTTTTAGGCTTGGCGGCTTTGGGTTTTGCAGCTTTAGGTTTAGTAGCCTTTGCCTTTTTAGGGCTCTTGGCCGCTTTCTTAGCGACTGCTGGCTTCTTTGCCTTCTTGGGGCTCTTCGTCGCCTTCTTAGCGGCCTTGACTGCGGGCTTCTTGGCCTTCTTGGGCGATTTCTTGGCGGCGGGCTTCTTTGCCGCTGCGCTCTTGGGCTTCTTGGCAGCGACGGGTTTCTTGGCCGCGGGCTTCTTCGCTTTAGGAGCCGCTTTCTTGACCGGTTTCTTCTTGGTCTCGGCTTGCTGCTTGTTGAGCTTGAATGAGCCCGAGGCGCCGGTCCCTTTGACCTGCTTCAGGGTGCCTTTAGTCACCAGGCTCTTGATGGCGATCTTGACGCGGGAGTTGTTCTTCTCCACGTCGTATCCGCCGGCAGCGAGCGCTTTCTTCAGCGCGGCGAGGGATACGCCGCTCCTCTCCTTGGATGCGGACACCGCTTTAACAATGAGCTCGCCGACGCCTGGACCTGCTTTCTTGGCTTTCGCAGCGGACTTCTTCTTGGGCACTTTGGCCGGGGCTGCAGCAGCGGGTGCGGGAGCGGTTTCTGCCATTTTTATCTTTCTCGATCAACAGTCTTTCAAACTACTTTCGTTTCAGCACTGAATGGCGCTCTCGCGGCGCTGCACTATTAAAAAACACTTGAGAACCTTATAGACTCAACCTACCCACTCGGCGTCTGTGCGCGCCAACAAGCCTTTCTCTCGTGTGTTTTCTTCTCTTGCATTTGGTTAAAAACTGGACTGGTAAAATAGTTTTGCGCTGTCAAAACAAACTGAACACCAAGCAGAGGAAATGTTTATTTAGTTTCTGTCAGATCAAATCCAAGGCGAGCATCAGCCACGGGGAAAGAGACGCGTGTAAATTTGATGGATAGTTTAAGTGTAAAGGTTGATAAAAGCCTGAGCACTCTGTGTGTTCAGCAAACATTCTGAAATAGTGTTGTTTTGGGCAGCTTGAAGCACACGGGAATCTGGAGGCTCCGAGTCTCACTGTGACTGGCCAGCAGATCATCTGTAAATAATAATAATTGGTATTAAAAATAGATATAATTTTAGTAAGCTGATGTGCATCATATAACGTAAATAAAAATATAAATCTTACTTGTTAAATTGGGATTAGGACTAAAGAGGACACTAGAGTTGAGCAGATAATAACTACAATGATGTTTAAACATTTTAAATGTAAACATTGAAAAACAATTATGAATAATAATTTTCCTCATGATTCACTATATTAGTGAGGAGATTTTGAGTCTCACACATTAAACCAAATATACACCATCTCTCTTTAACCCTGAACCAAAACTGAGAAAACTTTTGTTTGTGTGTGTGTGTGAGAGAGAGAGAGAGAGAGAGAGAGAGAGAGAGAGAGAGAGAGAGAGAGAGAGACTAGATGACTAGTCTAGCAACTAGATGAGACGCAGGGCCCACGACTGATAGAAATGTATTGCCCATTTTCAATGGGTAAGTGCCCAAGCAACAATCGCTCGGAAAGATTCCCCAGCAGCATTGCTCTAAAAGTTGTCCTGTATCATCCCTCTCAAAGTTACATTAGATACTAGCCTTAAAAGGAGCAGGTGGAGTTAGACCCTCATTAAAAGGAATATATTATACATACATATTTATTTTTAAGCAGGTATTATTAAAACTTCTAGCTAATTTTGAATTGAGTAAACCCACAAGCAGCCGGTGTGTAAAAAAAGACGCAAAAGTCTGATCAATGCTACTCTAAAATCTAGGAAGTTGAAACTTTTCTGAGTTGAGAACAAAAAAAGTGAAAAGGACACGTTTGTATTTTCCAACATTTAAAAAGAGAAAAAAAATGATCTTTATCCGAGAAGATGGGTGGCCCAAAAGAAATTTGAGACTTTTTACGTTGGCATATTCGTAAAATTCTCGAAGTATCAAGGGTGTAGATATATATATATATATATATATATATATATATATATATATAAAAAAGGAAATAAAAATAAAAACTCAAGAGCTCTTTTTCTGAGAAGATGTGTGGCTCTTAAAAGAGCCTTTGGGGTAATTGAAGTCGGGCACGCCTCACTTCGAGCTGGTGTATTTGGTGACGGCCTTTGTGCCCTCGGACACGGCGTGTTTGGCCAGCTCTCCGGGCAGCAACAGACGCACGGCGGTCTGGATCTCTCTGGAAGTGATGGTGGAGCGCTTGTTGTAGTGCGCAAGGCGAGACGACTCACCGGCGATGCGCTCGAAGATGTCGTTGACGAAAGAGTTCATGATGCCCATCGCCTTGGAGGAGATGCCGGTGTCAGGGTGGACCTGCTTCAGGACTTTGTAGACATAGATGGCGTAGCTCTCCTTCCTGGACTTTCTGCGCTTCTTTCCTCCCTTACCGGCGGTCTTGGTGACGGCCTTCTTGGATCCCTTCTTAGGAGCGGACTTTGCTGGTTCAGGCATGATGATGCGCTATCACAAGACTGACGAGACAATGTAAGCTACAGTGCGATAAAGAGGAATTTATTGACTGCTCTATGCTAATTTTGAACGGGATGGGGAAAACTTCTGATTGTCTGTTTTCATTGGCCAAACCCGTAAACTCGTTCTTTATTGGACAACTCCAAGCATCATAAGAGGAACGAGAACCAATCACAGGCGGATTAAATGATATAGTCCCGCCTACCGCTGCTTGTTGAAACCAAGTTCGTTCGAACGAAGGCAATGAATCCTCCAAGTTTCCTTTGTTTTGTTTCCCGCTCCTTTTATTTATTTATTATTTTTGAGAAAACAGAATCGGTTCTAATATTGCGCATCATTAAAAGGAACTCAGACTGTCAAGACACAAAAGCCTAAATATGCTACAATTGCTCTCTCCTACAAAAATATATAATTAGAAATACATCAAATGTTTTCGTTATTAAAAAAATCCTCACAGTGTTTACAGAATTTGAACTACGAATGCAGTCATCATTTTAGCGCGCACAATGCATTCTGGGTCGATGACGTCAATTTGTTGTGTCAGTTCGGTTGTGTTCAGAACATAAAGAGGTGAGCGAATGACGCTTAATTTAACTGTAGCTACATCCGAAAAGTGAATACAATGCCAAATTGTGCAGCGTTTGGTTGTAATTTTCAGTCCAAAGGCAACAAGGGGAGTGATGTAAGCCTCCACTCCTTTCCAAAGGAGAAGAAAATAAGAAACGAGTGGGAAGTTGCTTGCGGACGAGTACAACTCCCTAAAGACCCACGGCTGTGTTCCCGTCACTTCAGCCCTGATGCGTTTGAGGTATTTAGTCGGCTAAAAGAGCTCACAGGTGCAGCTAGTTACAAGCGAAGACTAAAACCAAATGCCGTGCCTTCAATTTTCCCCCACAAGAAGCATAAGCGTCCGCACACAGCGAGTGAAAGCCGCGCTAACAAACGAGAAAGGCAAGCGGCTGTGGACACTCTACTGCTGGGATGTAAACAACCCGCTCCCGCAGTCGCGAAAGAAGAATCATCCGGCACTACGCCGATCATGGAGGTAATGTTAACCGAAAATCCACCAGATGCTGTTAATGAATCCACTGTAACGTTAAGCCTGCAGTGTTCTCCAAGTATGGCTGATGCAGCAACGCAGACGGAGGTTAGCCAGTCGGACGCAGCGGTACAGTGGCCAGCTGATGTGGACTACCCGGTAAAAATGGACCATATTTATACAGGAGTAGGTGAAATTGAAATAGGTGTACAGGAGGATGACATTGATAACTCCCAGGATCTGTACTTCTCAGATGATGAACTTGGCAAACAGAGTCAACCACAGTACAGTCATTTTGATCCGGAATACATTGTAAGTTCATCTGAGTTTTCTCAAAGGACCCTGGAATCACACGCTTCAACAAACACGCATAAAGAAATGCGGCTTTTTCTAGTTTTTGAGGAACAGTTAAACCAATTGCTTCAGCGTTGTTTAAAGTGTGGCTCCCTGATTGTCCAGGAAGAAGTGAAAGAGCTAAAAAATGAAGGATCACAGTTGACACTTGAGCTCACATGTGCTAAGAGCTGCAGTTACAGATGGCAGTCTCAGCCTACTATGAGTGGGACCGAAGGGATAGGAAACCTGCTTTTAACCGCATCAGTTTTCTTCAGTGGCATCCATTTTGCTAAATTTGAGCGTTTCTGTAGTAACATGAACCTCAAAACAATAAGTGAAGACACATACACATCACTGAGGAAGAAGTTTGTGTTTCCTGTCATTGAAAAAACGTGGATTAAAGAGCAGAGTGCAGTGTTAACTACAATGAAATCACAAGAAGAAGTTGTTCTCTGTGGAGATGGCTGGTGTGACTCTCCGGGGCACCCCGCCAAATACTGTACATATACTTTTTTAGATGCACAGAGTCAAAAGGTTGTGGACTTCAAGGTAATTAGCTGCACTCAAGTTTCGAGCTCTAATACCATGGAAATCAAAGGTTTTAAAGAAGCTCTCAAAACCATAGAAGAAAATGGAGTGAAGGTCTCAGCCATCTCCACTGACAGACATCCACAAATCATCAAAGAAATGAGGGTCAGTAATCCAGAAAAACACCATGAATTTGACCCTTGGCATGTGGCAAAAGGAGTGTCCAAAAAACTGGCCACTGAAGCTAAGAGAAGGGAATGTGAAGGCCTGGGACAGTGGATACCATCCATCGTAAATCATTTGTGGTGGAGTGCTCAAAGCTGTGACGGTAATGCCGAAGTGTTGAAAGAGAAGTGGATATCTGTAATACACCATGTTACCAACCGACACGACTGGCCAGGGAACAGGCACTATCACCAATGTTCTCACGAGCCCCTTGATGAGACGAGCCAGAGACGCAAGCTTTGGTTAAAGCCAGGATCTGAAGCCCATAATGCACTCGTGAAGGTTGTGACACACAAGCGGCTTTTGAAAGACCTGGATCATCTGACAAAGTGCATCCACACAGCAAAACTAGAGGTATGATCATATACAAGCATATTCAACCCTTGTGCATCAATTAAAATGGCAGATTGTCGCTGAAATTATTCACTTTATTTGATTATTTATTGCTAAAAAATTAAGTAAATAGAATTTATGAAAAACATTTATGAGCATTATTTTATATTAAACATATGAAACAAGTTGAACTCTAAAACGTCTAGAAAATCAAAGCCATAAATCTATTTAAGGTTTGTTCCAAATTAGACGTTTTATTGCAAAAAAAATTAGCCTGACTTCGTCATACTCGTATTCAAGAAAGAATATGAGTCTGAAACTCCTCCAAGAGTGGGTATTTTTTGTACTTAGTGCAAAATATATGTATTTTTTTTAATAAAGGAAATGGGGTGAAATATTAAAATAAAAATGCACACCTGTGGCAAATTGTATGCAGTTGGCATGAACACAAAGTTATCAAAAAATAAAGCCAAAAAAATGTCCACAAGGGTTAATAAATATTCTAGTCATTGTGATGTGGCAGGATGTGACTCGCATATTTTAATAGTTTATTTCAAATTCAAATTTGTTTCAGGTGTACCACTCCATATACCTGAAATATCTCCCGAAGAGAACACATTTTGGATATCATGTGATGATCCATGCCTCCATGCTTGCTGCTCTGGATCATAACAACAATGTGAACAGGGAACAGGTGTGTGAACTGTAATCAATCCTATCTCTTGCGAGCACTGCGTGACACTGGATATTGCACATCAAACTCTTCCTAACACCTTGTATGTATCTATTTTCCAAATTTGTGTTCTTGAACAGGCAGTTCTTCGAGATGGGGAGAGTGTTGGTGAACCCAAGTTCAAAATCTCATGCAGCAAAGTCCACAAGACATTCAGAGCAAAGGACTATAGCTACATGACCGCTATGATTGCAGATGTTCTCTCCTCTGTGTTAGATTCAAGAACAACATGACAGCTAATACAACACAAGAGAGATTATCCATTTTTCAAACACAGCAGTTTTGACGTTTCAAGTAGCTGCATCATTACGAACACGTGACGTACACACCAGCATACTTCAAATGCACAGAGTCTTAAATTTAATTGTAGTCAAGCACACGTAATACTTCAAACTTACATTTGATTTTAGAGAACATGCAACATTTTTATTTAAACATTAACATTTCGTTTGATATCCTATTTTGTTGCATAGATTGTTTTCTTGACAAAATGCTTTCAAATGTCAACTACTCTGCTATATGTTATTAAAATCCGACTTCTCGCTGTCTTCATTTGCAAACCCTGTTTCTTATTTTGGTAACTGCACATGATGCAATGACCCTGCGGACTCTTCTCCCTAGCCAGCCGTGCATCCACCATGTAAACTGACGACATGAGGCATATCTGTGAGACCTAAAAGGCAGAATTTTTAAAACAATTCAACTATTATGTTATGAAAAAATGATTTAAGCTGTTTGTCTTAACCAATAAAACAGCTGAAGCCTTCACTGGAAGTGCACAGTCCAGTTTACTTTTTTCCACTATTTAGGCTACCATACTTAGGTAACCATGTTCAAGGTTGACTTCCCGGGTTTATTTTGTATTTTACTTTAGTGGGTATTTCTATGCGTTGTGACTGCTTGGGGTAAATAAAGCAAACGACGGCGGTAGATGACTTATTAAATTATGTATACCGACAGTTATTTTAATAAGTCTATTAAATAGATAATTATTAAATAATGGTGTTAAACTAGTCTATTAAATAGACTAGTTTGTGACTAAACAATTCTTGCATCATCAGGAAAGATATATATTTCAAAACTAATTCAAATATTAATTTTTAACAATATTAATTCTGAAATTAATTAATTAAGTAATTATTAATACTTGCAGGTAAATTAAACATGATTTGGGGAAAAAAATTGGAATGTTGCACTGTTGCATTTTGTACTGTTGAAAAACCTTGAATTTAACTTTCGGTGTTACCAATTAAAATAATTTGTTAAGTTGGTACAACTGCTTTCTTTCAGTGTAATGTATGAATGATGCTAAAACATAAAACATTAGAAACATCATTCAGTATATTTATCTATATAAACTTTCATGGATTTTTATTTGTTTTTTTTTTTTTTTAGTCAAAAGGAAACTGCTCTCCAGTATAGGGCATTGTGTGTTGTAGTAATTTTACCTTATATTTTGAGCATAGTGTCATTAGAATTAATGAATTTTTTTTTTTCTGATGGACTGTAGCACTAATCAAGACACAAAACAACAAAAACTAAAAGTACTAATGCATTTAATATATTTTGATTAATCTTCAAAAGTGAAAAAATAATACCATAATAACATACTATTAGATTAATTTAAATAATTTAATGAGAGGTGTAAAATAATATTAAATAGACTAGCCTATATCAAGAATGCAATTTTTGTTTTTACTCTACAGTACAATTAATAAATTTTCATCCTAATTTAAATTGAACATGTTTTACTGTAGTGTATTTAAGCATGTTTTAATGAAAGAATAAAACCTGTTTTACAAAATGACCAGGTTTGATCAACAACGTTTTGGAGTTTTCCACTAGAGGACGCTGTTGTCCAGGCATGCACATGCACGATTTCCCATTGATTTTATTTGATTGTTATTTTTGACATTTTTGTCATTTTGATTGTTTGTGCATCAGAGCTGAAATTTAAACATTTTTAAGAAGATTTCGCCTTACCTAAACAAGACGCTTCCCTGTGCGCGACAGCAAACTGAAAGACGCTTTGTGATTGGCTAATGCTTCATCGAGTGCAGCTCTGATTGGTGTGTGTCAGTTCCGAGGAGTCATCAGTGTTCCTCACGAGACTGAAATGTTTCTGCGTTCGCTGTCAAACTCCAGTAAATGTTCTCTTTACCACTTTACCATCTTGTACATAATTATTTGAGGTAAGATGAACCTGTTTCCTCTTTCAAGACGGCGTATAGTTATATCTTCAGTGGGTTTGCTCTTTTGTTTTAGAGCTGTTAGCAATAGCAAGTCTGGGACTGACAGAAAATGATCGCTAATATTAGTGGTCATATTGTCATTATTTATATACTGCATCAATGAAACATGTATGTGTACACAATATATTACAACTAATCAAATACCATACTTGATCAACCATTTGACCCATACAGTTTGTGTTTTCTTCTGGTTTGCATATGGCTAGTTAGCATCGGATGCTATTTGGACAAACCATCAGTCATGAAATACAGATTATGTTTTATTACGCATAGTGTTGAATTTTAATTTATATGTGTGATCTGAATGGATTACAGACGGAACCTATGCATGTCATGTATAACAATATGCACACTGAACATAAGCCTCTTGTTATTTTCAATTAAATTGTGTGCTTTCATGAAAATTATCAGCTTTTTATAAGGCCTTTATTTATTTACTAAGGAATATAAGTGTTTCACAGTGTTCACGATTTTAAAACATGAGCATAACTGTTGCAATTGTCATATTTGCAATGATCATATTTTCAGTTGAAACTACAGAACGTCAGTTGTTTTCATTTGATGCGTTATTTCTGAACAAAATTATTTAATTTGCAGGGAAAAAAGAAAGAAAGTCTTTATTGACAAGATTTTTAGGAATTCACTTGAGATTGTCCATTTAAAATGATTTTGTGTATCCCTACGCACAGTTAAATAAGTGGTGAGAAAAATAGTGATTTACTTTACAATGTTGGGAGGTAGGCAACCCGTTTACAATAGTAATGCAGTGTGTCCAGTTTGTATCATAACTTCACAGTTTGTGTCCATGGGACTGTAGTCACTTGATAATTGAGATAATTATTTGACCTTGTGGGAAGCATACAGATTGAACAGGAGAGGTCCAACACTCTCAGGAAAAAAAGGTCCAAAAGCTGTCACTGGGGCTGTACCTTTTCAAAAGGTACGCTTTTGTATCTAAAGGGTGCATATTGGTACCTTAATGGTACTTATTAGCAACTAAATGTCCATATTAGCACCTAAAATGTACATATTAGCAAATAAATGTCCATATTAGCACCTAAATGTACATGTTGACACCTAAATGTACATATTAGCACCTAAAATGTACTTATTAGAACCTAAATGTACATATTAGCACCTAAAGTGTACACATTAGCACCTAAAATGTATATATTACCAAATAAATGTCCATATTAGCTCCTAAAATGTACATATTAGAAAATAAATGTCCATATTAGCACCTAAATGTACATATTGGCACCTAAAATGTACATGTTGGCACCTAAATGTCCATATTAGCACCTAAATGTCCATATTAGCACCTAAATGTACATGTTGACACCTAAAAGGTACATATTAGCACCTACAATGTACTTATTAGAACCTAAACGTACATATTAGCACCTAAAATGTACATATTAGCAAATAAATGTCCATATTAGCACCTAAAATGTACATATTAGCACCTAAATGTCCATATTAGCACCTAAATGAACAAATTAGCAACTAAATGAACAAATTAGCAAAAAAAAAAAAAAAAGGGAGCCATTAAATTCATATAGTCTGGCCATATTCAGGTCCTAAATGTTAGCATAGGACTGTGATTATTGCACACAACTTTTAAGCTTTCTTGCAAGTTTGGTGTTTATAAACCCAAAATACATATAGTAATGTTGAATAATTTAATACAGGTAAACAGATCAAATCAATAATTTGAAATATTTCTGTAAGACTGTAATATCACAAACAGTACACTATCAGGTACCTGTGGTAGTCGAGCTGCTTGCGTTGAGAATCAATGATGCCGTTCACAGGAAGGAAACGCTCACCAGTAACATGTCTAATGCTAGAGTGGTTCCCAATATTTAAAACAGCATCCGTCACTTACCAGTTTTACTTGGCATTTTTTTTTTTTTTTAAGATTAAATACTTCCATAGCATGTTTTTTGTTCCTACTATGGAAGTCAATGGGTCCATCAACTGTCTGGTTACTGACATTCTTCAAAATATTTTATTTTGTGTTCAGCAGAAGAAATAAATTCATCCAGGTTTGAAACAACTTGCGTAAATGATGACAGAATTCATTTTTAAACGAACTATTCCTTTAAAAGTAAGATATTTACCGATTAATGCTGGTTAATTAACGGTTTAAAGGTAATTCGACACTCCGCGGGTCTCCGCTAAATATCTGGTTAAATATCTGTGTTTGTTGTAGTCCAAACAAATGATCCATTTTTGTTTTGTCCCCCCGTTTAAAGTATAACATCGTTCTGCTTGAATCATTTGTGGCCTGGGGTTGGGTCAAGATAAAAGATTGTGAAATTATGTTATATGGAAAGGCATGTGACCCATTGCCAGCGTATTGGATATCCGGGAGGCATGGCTCAATTTCACGTCAACCGGAAAACTCCATGAAATCCCTGTAAGGATCACAGGAGTGTGGTTCCCCGGCCTCAACCCAGTGTGTTATGGCCCGGAGGAGCCGATCACATGCAGATTTCACATTCTTCAGGGTTTCAGCAGACAGTCATCCAGGCAATCCTCCCATGATGCCCAGAATGAGGGGTGGAGGCCTGACTCTTGAATATTATCATGATTTTGGCCTTGACCTCTCAGAGTTGCCATGTGATTCTTTAATCTTCGCCTGGACACCCTGAGCCTCTTCATCTTCATGGCTTTCCTCTTCCTTATCCGCCATTTCAAAGATTTGAAGATGAAACTATTCATGGTGTCGCAAACTCTCTTTAACCGTCATAAATATGTGAGTAAGTCTTTAGCCGAATCGTTCAAACTTTGCCTGTTTTTACATGTTTTCTGCTTGGTACTTCTAGAGTGAGAGTGTTTGTAGGAAAACACAAACTTCATGGCCTGAATACCATCTAACATGGTTGAATAATAGAGTGAAACACAACGATCTGGACGTTGTTTCCTCATGCTATAAAAATGGAGTAAATCAATGGTGTTTAAGTGTAATTAAAAGGCGGTAGTATTAAAATAATCACAATTCTGTTAACCGGTTGAATTGGTGGGTGAATCCGTATTGTTGTCATTAAAATGATGTTTAAGCGCAAACGGTTGCAATGGGCTTAAAAACAAGATGAATTTTCTTTAAATTGTTGTATTAATTTTGAGATTGTTCTTGACGTGTTTTGTGAGACACCACAGTCTTTCTGGTCAGAAATCACTCTCATTTTAAGGAAGCGAGCAGAATAGACTTGAGTTTATTTCCCACTGTGAACACAGTGGGGATTTCCCGCAGTGAGATACTCGACCAACGCTGGCTCAAACACACACACGCAACCGTACGTGGAAATGTCTCGATGACATAAAGACTTTCCCCCTCAGAAAGATGTGCTGTGGCTTTATTTCAGTCAGAGGAAAGCTTGTTGTTCTGCTCTGCCTCCTCTGTTTACTTGGATACGATCATGTTTACTGTACGCTGGAGTTTCTTGAAGTTAATTTCATTTTCAGAATGCTTAAATGAGTTCAGCTGAATTTCTACTGATTGGACAGACAGTGAAAGGAGAAGAGAGCCTTTTTGTCTGTCTGTTTGTAGAAAATTGTGAGTGTTTTCCTGTGTGAAGTGGGACTTGTCTCTGAAAAACAACAAATGCTACTGTAGGGTGGCTTGAGTGGTTGCTAGGGCGTTGCTATGCAGTTGATACAGTGTTCAGAATAGAGCCAGACCGATATTATCGGCCGATATTAGGCATTTTCTAAACTATCGGTATCGGCAGTTATAATGGCCGACAAATGAATATTTCACAAATAAAATAAAAACGGATAAACACGCTTCAACCATGTCATGAGTGTTGGAGTTGTATAGTTTGTCCACCAGAGGGCGCTCTACACCGTCCCTGTTGGCAACACTCGTTGAGTTGGTCACGAGTCATACGTTGCTTGAATAACAATTAAAAGAACATCCCCATCTTAACTCAAATAAGCAGGACAAAATTTGTGACTATCATGTCCAGTTTTGCTGCTGTTAAATAAGCCGAGAGTGAAGCCGAGTTAGCTAATAATAGTTACGTTGTGTTGTTCCAGTGTAGTCGACTGACTGTCCTTTTAACTTTTGACAATGTGACTGAAGTATTTCTTTAATAGCGCGTGACAGTTATAGCAATGAGACGTATCATCTCTCCTCGGCCTGTTATATTGAAAATTTATGTTTTACAATTTGCAGAATGATGTTATCCATTGCTAAATTATGGCTCATCGTAGACTAGCTAACCACAAAGCTAGCTAATGCCACTATCATCCGTCTGTTCTGTTGTGACAATAAAAGAAACAAGTTTCTTTTTAAAATTCATTATCATATTATTTTAGTTAAAACTCATAAATAACTACAAATAACTCATGTTAGGGATATCTGTTAATGTTTTGTTGCGCGTTTCTGAAATAAAAAAATATCGGCCGATATATCGGATTTTAAAACCCAAAAATATTTGTATCGGTATCGGCCTTCAAAATCCTTCAATCCTTCCGGTCGGGCTCTACTTCAGAGTGTTTTTTTGAGGCATTATTTCGTGGTTAATATATAGCCTAAGGTGGTTGCAAGGTGACTGTGTACTAGGGCTGCACGATGTATTATTTTAGTATCGATATCGCCATGTGCGCATCCACGATAGTCACATCGCAAGGATGTACCATGTCACTTATAGGGATCGTAGATAATCGGTGATTGGTGATCAGTAGGCTACGTGCCAGCAGCTCCCCAGTTTATCAAATTGAGTTTATCAATTTGCAAGTCCTGTCAGTTTAAACGTCAAGCGCAAGAAGACTGGAACTTGCGCGCTGTTTTCTGTCAGCCTTACTAAAGCGCATTTTTGTCCCGCCAAAGCTTGACCGGTGAGTGACTTCTGCGCTCGTTTAAAGGGGTCATGAACTGGATTTTTAAAATGTATTATATTGTTGTCTGAGGCTTGGTTTTTGCATTCGAAAACATCAAAATGAATAAGTAATAGGCTATTTTCTACCCTAGTTTTGAGCCCAGTTCAGAAACGCTCGGTTTTTATGGGCGTGTCGCACTGAAGACATGCAAGTAAACGCCCACTGCTGTGAGTGGAGAACAGTTTTGCATATTATAATGAGTTTCGACTCACCCGTCGATGCACGTGGGGGAAATCGTTTTGCCTCACATTTACAGATATACATTGTTGTGTTTCTTTAGAAATAAACAATGGACAAATGGAGTCTTTAAACGCCTAGGATGTAAAATTATTCGCTGTCAAAGTGACGCCAAAATGAATGGGGGTCAATGGAATGCTAACAGCAGGTGAAGGCTTGTTAGCCAATGGCGGCTCCTGGCAGACTTCAGTTTCCGGCTGGTGGATTACACCCATGGTTCAGACCAATGCATAAAAAAAAAAAACATCAGAAAGACTAAATTAACATACATTTACTCTCTGACAGTAGGGCGATTATAACAGAAATACAGTGGTTATCCTGGTTAATATGGTGTACAAAGCAGCACTGTGCAGTTTTATGTTTGTCCAACAATATTTACATGTTTCAGATATATTTGTATGTTTTATTAAATATAACACCAAATACAAAAGTGTTCAGAGACGAGAGCTGGTTCGGGATTCCTCTTCAGCTAATCTCACTTGCTCAGTAAAGTAGTGTTTGTGTCGTGAGCACCACCAAGTCGCTGTGTTGCGTAACGGCAGTGGCTTTGGGCATGTGACTAAATCCGTCCTCTTATTGGCCAGTTTCTTTCACTGTGAAATGGAAATGAGATCAGTTGTATTAACAGCATATTTGTGTTCATTAAAATGAGAGCTGTCTGTTGCCACCCATTTAGATTAATATATTTTTTACGCCAAATTTTCACTCTAAAGGAGGAAAATAACCATAATGATGAAGATATTGTTTTTAAAATCATTCTAACATTAGAGAACAGCAGAGTTCACATCACAACTATAACGATAACGGCACAGAAGAACGATGTCGTTGGAATCACTTTCAGAACGATTTTTTTCAAGCTGATGACAATCAGAATCAATCCTGCCTTAAAACACTCGAGCATTTAAAGCTGCAGACGACAAAACAATAAACAACGATATCTTCCACTGGTGGAAAAATCATTATAGTGATCTTTATAGTTATCGTTGTTGGTGTGAACAGGTTTTTTTATACTTAAGAATGAGTAATTGTCATGCTTGCCATTTAATAATAAATTTGGTTTATAATGATATAAATACAGCTTTGCAAAGTTCAAAAACAATCAGGAGAGAAAATGTAAGCCGAGCAACAGTGGTTCGTAATGCTAATCCAGTTTAGTTTGACCCCCACATTTCTTAAATTCCTTTCCTCCATATCATTGTTTCTCTTTATCTGTTCCTCTTGTTCTCTTTAAGGAGCTGGAGTGTGGGACACATATGGCTGTGTATGATGAGAATATCCTGAAGAACCCCTTTTACCTGGCCCTGGAGAAGCACAGACCGGACCTGAGCTCCAGGGTGGCAGAACTGCATGGCATCGTGAGTGCACACGTCCACATTTGTCACCATTGGAAATGCTGTTCAAGTTCTTACATACCGAGCAAAAGTGAATGTGGTTTGCGTGTTGACGACTGAAGCGATGAACGGATTTATTTGTTGGACAGAATTAGTCATGTATTCGTTCATGTGACTGTGGTCAGTTCACATGCGGTCAGAAAGTATGTATGAACTGATTCTTCAATGTTGTGTGATGTTCGAAGATCAGATGATAATGGCAGTGTCTGTCTTAAGGTCATTCTCAAATTTAAAACAATGCTTAAATGAGTAAAAATGATTGAATGAGCTGCGTTTCAAGCTGATAAGCCTGAACATGTGATGCAAAAGTCTAAATGATCACAGATTGTTCTGTTGTTGTTATCAGCTCGTCTCTGATTTCATTTGGCCTGCAGCCTCATGCTTGTGACCAGATCAGTTCAATCTGTTCAGTAATCAAGAAATTAAAATTGAAGTTTTTTTGGTCTTTTAAGATGAATATGTTAGCCTTACTGTTATCTATAAGCTAGTGTGCTCCAAAACATTCACATTTAGAAGATATAAGAGATCAAAACGTATAGTCTCGCACTTCCGCCAATATGGGTCAGTGATTTTGATGACATCACTCTGCATTTCATGCTTTCATGCTTGTGTTCACTTTTTGCTGATAATTGACTCACCCCCATGTCATCCAAGATGTCCACGTCTTTCTTTCTTCAGTCGAAAAGAAATTAAGGTTTTTGATGAAAACATTCCAGGATTTTCTCCATATAATGGACTTCAATGGGAACCAAACGGTTCAAGGTCCGAAAGACACTTTCAGTACAAACTGTTCAAAGGGCTTTAAACGACACCAGACGATGAATAAGGGTCTTATCATGCGAAACGATCGCTCATTTAATAAATAAATAACAAAGTTTAAGTTTTATAAGCTCAAATGCTCGCCTTGCTCTGTTCTGTGACGCGCGTTCGTGACTCTCCTGCTCGAACTCGTTTATCAAAATGAACGAATCTTTTTCTGAATCAATTCGTTCATTTCGTTCGTTGAATGAACCAAGTGACACGAAAAAATATTTGTTCATTTTGATAAACGAGTTTGAACAGTAGAGTCACGAACGCTCATTTGGACCTTGAACCGTTTGGTCCCCATTGAAGTCCATTATATGGAGAAAATCCTGGAATGTTTTCATCAAAAACCTTAATTTCTTTTTGACTAAAGAAAGAAAGACATGGACATCTTGGATGACATGGGGGTGAGTAAATTATTAGCAAAAGTTTTTTTTTTTTTTTTAAAGTGAACTACTCCTTTAAGCTCTTATTATTCATTTAATTCAGCGAAAAACGTACTCAACACATATTGGAAACCGGTATGCAAAAATACAAACTCATTTCTGGGATTTAGGACTCGTTCCTGTTATGCTCTCTGTGATAATACTTCCAAACAAAGCCGAAAGTTGGATCAGCCATTGTGTAAAGTAACAAACACGGACAAACTGAGTGACGCAGTCGTTGGACTGAATATCGACAGACCAACCAGAGCCGAGGATGGGAGCTGACGGCTGTATAATACTGTGTAATTGAAGTTTCTGTGTTGCCTGACAGCCATCGGATTTCCATTTGGATTCCATTCTATCAGAGTATGAGCCCGATTAACCCATAGGTGGCGCTACAGCAACCAAAGTTCCTCCGCAAAGTTCCGTGAGGATCGGATTATAGGTGGCCAATGAGTGGTGTTTTACTGCCCGCTGCTGTTTAAATTATTTTTGTTTTCACAATACTCAACTATAATTCATAGTATAACTTTATCAATTCAATCTTTTATCATTTGCAACCACATTTAGTAAAAAATGACTAATCCTGAAGTTGAAAATGAGTGTGTGAACTAAACTGTAGTAAATCATATTTTAACACGGTAAATTATGATAAATCATATTGGAACATGGTTAATTATGTAATATCACACTGAAATGTAGTATATCATGATAAATCATGCCTGCTTCATACAACTTAATGTCTTTTGATGCTTTTGTGCTTAAATGCCTTAAAGAACTGAACTGCTTGAACACCGATAAATGCTGCTTGCAGCTTTAATATTTTGGTTGAAACGGTGGGAAAAAAAACACTATTATCCACATTTTACATAATTTTTTCCCCTTGTGTTGTTCTTTATCCATGAGACTTTCTTTAATGAACTCAACAGAATCATATGGTGACAATATCAATCTCAAAGAGAACAAAACACACCGTAGTCCATTCGACGTGTGTGCTGTTTTCCAAGGCTCCTGAAGTCGTAGTGAAGCTTGTTATGAGTTTGTCTGTGCTTGATCAATTCAAACCCTACAAACCTCTTGTGTAGATCCTGGTACCGTGCTGTGGAAGTTTACCGACGGCCTCGTTTACCGCAGCCCAGTTTGACGAGTACGTGCTTCAGCCGGCTGAACAGGGTTACCAGACGCTTGATGGAAAGGTATGTAAAATCCCACATGTGTGTAACAACCCCGTGTGTATCGTTTCAGGATGCTGACTGGAACTGAACATGTTTTGAATGTGGCGTATCTTTCAGGAAGTGTCTATAGACAATAACCAGGTCCGTCTGGGAGCAGGGTTTCCCAATCCCACTTCTGTCCCCATCCTGTTTGAGGAGACTTTCTACAATGAGAAGGAGCAGGCCTACAGCATACTGTGCATCACAAGACCCTTCGACTCTGACCACAGCCCTGGTAATTTGTTTGTTAGAGGTTCTAGCTAAAGGCGCTTTAGTGTAATATTAGTGTAATAATGCACACAGAGATCACTTACAAACCAAGCAGATTGAAATCAATAATGCAGTGAATTTGCCTCAAACATAAATCCAAATGCACAAAATGAAATCTGTGTGGAATATTTTGCTGAAAGTCCAAATTAATATTTAGATCACTATATTTTACCCGCTGAATTGTGACCAAACCTTAAAGTCCCCCTGTAGTCAATAGTTGAATCACCAGAATTACATTTTTAAAAGCGTTTTCCTTGAAAAGTCTTCATGCCGTAATACATCTTGAATGTAACTCGACACCCTTGCCTCATTTAGTATGCGTGGTTCTATGAATATGCAAATGAGCCCCGCCTCCACTCACTCACTGGTTGACGATCTCACGTTGATCTGATTGGTTACAAGGTGGTTTGTGACGTCAGAAACACCAGCGATTTCACACCGTGTGTTTGGTTCACTGCAGTTTTAAGGAGGAAATACTCAGCAATGCTGTCCACTTATGCTTTAAGGCAAAGCAATCATATTTAAAACACCACATAGACACATAAACAACATTTAAAAGCTGGATTTTCACCAGAGGGGGGCTTTAACACTTCATCGTAACTGCGATGTTGTTGTCAGGCGATTAAATTGCAGCTAAACAGAAGAAAAACAGTGCAAATATGAAATCCATGCTATTGATAAAACGCCTCGACGTGCAACGACTGATTTGGACAAAGAATATAGAATAACATTTATAGGTTTAGTGATTTATTGCTCGACACCTTGTCGGAACGAACCCGGTTAAGGCAAACTGAAATGTAAATGGATCGTTTGCTGGACTGATTCGTTCTGTTTGATTGCATGAGTTTGCTGATTTGTTTTATCTTTCGCAGAGGAGCTGAGTGCTGTTTCTGCGCTGTACTGTCTGAAGAACATCGAGGAAGTAAGGGAATTCTTGGGCCGCCATGCTGAGAAACTGGACAAGTTTGTGGCCACCTTCTGTCAGTCCTACAAAGAACAAGAGAGGAGGGGCCTACGACATCACATAGTGAGACGAACACAGATTTACATTTCACCAGTGGTGGAGAAAGTACTGAATCTCAGTACTTAAGTAAAAGTACAAATAACCAGATAAATATTTACTTTAGTAAAAGTAGAAGTAACACAATGACAACCATACTTAAGTACAAAGTACCTGATTTTAAATGTACTTTAAGTATTAAAAGTAAAAGTACTTGCATAACAATTGATTCTCTTAATGACTATTTTCTAATGATTAATGACGCATTTAATTTGAATTCATTCAACCTAACACTTCTATAATGATGGAAAAAAATGTTCTCACCATTTCTGAAACAAGCTTGCAATTAGGCAATATAAACCATGCTTATCCTCCTTACTATATGTTAATAACAATGTTTGGCAGTAAGCGCAATTAATTTATGGTGTAATTCTGAACCTCTTGGCTTGCCATAATCCTAACCAAACGTATATTACACACGATGCGTTTCCTATGCACGTAAAAACAAATTTCCGCGTATAAATCGCACGATAAACACACTGCCTGCGAGACGCATTTAGTTGATGTATCTATGGCAACCAAACGTCACTGGTGAGACAAACGTGCAACGAACGGACGGATTACGTTTTGGCAGGGGAAAAACTGATCAGAAAATGTAATGAAAATGTAACAGAAGTTGTAGAAATGTAGTGGAGTAGAAAGTATAATAATTGCTGCAAAATGTAATGAAGTAAAAGTAAAAAGTATGCACTATTTATTCTACTTAAGTAAAGTAAAGATACGTGAAAAATGTACTTAAGTAAAGTAACAAAGTATTTGTACTTCGTTACATTCCACCTCTGCATTTCACCATGTATTGCTTTTATCCACTTAAATCTCAATAGTTGTATCCCTTAAAACTCATATTTGATCACCAGAATTACTTGTTTAAAAAAGCGTTTTCCTTGAAAAGTCTTCATGCCGTAATATAGCTTGAATGTAACCCGACACCCTTGCCTCATTTAGTATGCGTGGTTCTATGAATATGCAAATGAGCCACACCTCCACTCACTCGCTCAGCGTTGACGATCTCACGTTGAGCCTGACAACCTACATAATACCTTAAGAGAAGTGGGAACAGTAAAAAAGAAATGAATTGAACAAACAATTTTGTTTAATTTGTTTAATTTGTTTTTTGTTTTTTTAAGCAATACTAAAGAATACTAATGGGGATTGTCTTGTAGCATTAAACTATTACTAATAGATATTTTAAAAAAAACACACAAATGGGACAGTTTTTATCTTATTACTAAAAAACTATTCAGTTTGCCTGTGTGACATCAAAAGGGATCTCAATAAGATTTTAAAACTTCTGTAACTTCCTGTTCCAACACCATATGGCTGGTCATCACTACAGATTCCAGATCCTATTCATGACCCATTCACAAGATCTCGATTAGATTCTGATTCAGTTTGATAGCAATTAAATTATTTTAGTAGTGTTTAATAGTTTAATCGTGTTTATTTTGCTGGCATATCAAAGATTTTATCTCTGCTAATGCTGTAAATATACTAGGGCTGGGTAAAATATATTGATTTCTCAATATTAATGGATTCTCATTTATACGAACCGATATCAATTCCTAAATCTCAAGAATCGATTAGTCATCCTGTTTTTATTTGATGAATGAATGGAACATTATAGTGCGCATCCAATCCAATAAATGGCAGTAATCTTTGTGCTTTGTTACTATTATTATGAAATAAAGTCAAAAATTTCTAATTATGTCCATTTTCTTACAAAATTCAAAAACGTAAATTGTGTTTTGGCGCGAGATCGCTCTGGCTCAGGTCACATGATCTCCTCTTCTGGCTTAATAATACCAGTTGCAGCGCCAAATAAACATGAATGAGCGTCTGAAAGTGTGTTGAAATATAGAGTGCAACTTATCGAAATCTGTATAATGTCACATGGTATCGCTCCATCAGTGTTTCATCCGTGGAAAGACACATTTACCTCAGAAAAACCACGGGACCATAAAGTTAGTCAGCTAGATAAATTAACTCTAGAGAGGAGAATTTAGCTAAATATATATGTAATTTTTAATGTTCTTCAATATTTAATGTATGTTTGAATAAATCTGGCAAGTTTTTATGACAGCCACCATTTAAATGTTTATATTTCATATGATCTTCTTGTTATAAAAATAAATAAAAGTGTAATTTAAGTGTTTGTATAGCTACAAATCGGCTAATGAAGCCTATAGGCTACAACTGACTACACCAAGTTATTAAGAGATTTGTTTTACTTGAAAAATTTGCCATGTATTGTACCTGATATCTAAAATAATCAATATTAAATTGAATCGTAATCAAAATCAAACTGAATTGCAAGCTTGTGAATTGAAATTTAATCGAATTGTGAAATTTGTGTCAATACCCAGCCCTAAAATATACAGGGATTTTTTTTAACATCATCATAGACATCTTGTTTTAACTATCCATAAAAAGGTGTGTGTCTTTAATTTGACTCACAAGAGTCACTTCACTGTGATTGAAGAAATGTGTTGCAGTTGCACCAGCCATTCATAAGCTCTTTCTTAAAATCTTTCTTGAAGTCCACACTAGAGGCTTAGTAACTATTGGTTAGTTTGTAACTCTGTACTTTATCCGGTTGCACCATTTGTTCTAAAGGCAGAACGAAGCTAATAAGTAATGCGTGGTTGCAAAATACATGTGGTGCCTCAATGATTCAGCCTTCAGATATGTGAGCAGAATTTGTGTTGAAATACTGTGAATCCCACTTTATCCTTCATTCTGACTTGTTTTGCCTCATGTAACTAACAATAAAATTAAGTTTCCATTAAATATGAAACTACTTAATCATGAATAACATATGTATTTCTATATGCAAATAGCATTCAGAAACTGTATTTGACATAATAAGGATCAATTCATAATACTGATGGAAAAAAAAAGCTAGTAATTTATATTTATTTATGAATAATTTTATTTGACATGCACAATACGGACCGATACACACTGTTTAGGACGGATTCGTGTTGAAGAGATACTGACAGTAGTATATTCATAATGTTCTCTCTCTTAAAATATAAGTGAGTGTAAATGTCAGCATTATCATCAGTTGGGGAAAGTTATTTTAAAAGTAATGAATTACAATATTGCATTACTACATAAAAATGTAACTAAAGTAAAGTATGGAAAGTAAGGCGTTAAATTACTGGGCTGGGCTTTTTTTTTTTTTTTTTTTTTTTTTTTAAAACAAAAAAAAAAAGTTATATTTTTGTTAAACGTAAAGGCCCTTTCACACCAAAAGTAAAATGAATGCGCCGGCTCCGACTGAAGGAAACACACATTCACGCCTGTACAGTTATAAAAAAAAACAACTTTTAGCTGTTCTGCCATTCTGGATTGAAGAAGAATAGTATGCACTTCAGGAATACAAACTAAAAAAAATAAACAAAAATGTGATGTTTATTTAAAGTCATTTTTGCCTATTAGTGTGATTCAAGTGGATCAATGGAGGTCAGCAGCAAAAACATGAATAAAGCGAGATTAAATACATAAAGTATATGAAGAGTTCAGATGCAAAAGCCTCTAAGTGCCATTTGACATTTTCTTCTTTAATGATGATTTTTATCAAGCTTGTATATTTAAGTTCAGTGATTTCACTTAAATGGCAATGATAATTACCTATTAATTGTTATTTAAGTGAACTTAAATATACAAGTTTGATAAAAATCATCATTAAAGAAGAAAATTTCAAATGGCATTTAGAGGCTTTTGCATCTGAACTCTTCATATTTAATGCAACATTAAATTATTGCAGATAGCATTTCACTGTTTTTATTACATTTGGGTGATACTGAATCTGCTCGATTTCCCTCAGCATGAGGACAGGACAGCTGGCAGTCAATCAATGGACAAATAGTTCAGTTCAGTTTCAGTTTATTGTCCCCTAAGGGAAACTTCTCTTGCAGCCAGGCAAACATACAGGTCACACAACAGGTAAAACCCACACACACACACCCATAAACAACACAGACTGCTAATTAAAAAAAAAACTATTTACTGTTCCACCTCTACGTCATAGAATTATGCAAGTTTAGCAAACGAATTGCACATTGTAAGAGTTCTTAGTCCTATTGGGCTTAAAACAAGGTACTCTGTATCTCCGACCTGAGGGGAGAACCTCAAAAAAGCAATGTAGGGGATGATCTACACATTCAAATATGGTATTTACTTTCCTCATAAATATTTGTCAGAGAGACCTGAGGGCAGCCAATTAACTTCCCGGCCACCTTCACAATGTTACTGAGGTTATTTTTCTCCCTCAAGCTGACCAAGCAATAAAAGCAAAAGTAAGAACAGATTCAATAAAAGCTTTATAAAATAAGGACAGCATGACCTTATCAACGTTAAAAGACAAGTAGCAAGTAACTTGCATCACTTGTTTGAAAAAGTAACTCCGGTATTTTGTTGTAAATTTGATAGTAATACGTTACTTAAATTACTAGTTACTTGAAAAAGTAATCTGATTACATGACTCAAGTTACTTGTAATGCGTTCTCATCACTGATTACCATATATGTCTGATGGGCGTTTCACGCCGCGTGAACAGCGCGACAGCGCAACTACATCGTCACTGCAACTGCAGACGCGCAGGAGTATTCACACTGGAAACGTGTGTGCCGCGTCACAGCTCCAAACCGACAGAAGAACAAATTAAATAATCTTCTTTAAACATTGGGTTCTCAGACAACTTTTGGCTTTTTATTCATCATATGCCTGTATTCAACTTGCAGAATATTTGTAATAAAATTGTTGACTTGCCATCTGCAGAACAAGCAATTTCATCCCATGCTTTTTCCTTTTCCTTTTCCACGCTTTTTTTTTTTTTTTTTCATTTTTGGCTCATAAAGCACTTTGTGCTTCTCGGCCGCCATGATCAGACTCGTATAATCTATTGCTGTACAGGTGTACTATTTTTTTTATAATCATAACCATACTTTCACCCAAACGAACTTCAAATGGCTAAATCTTCTAGAAATATTTTTTTTTAATCTTCGGTTTCTTTTTTGTCATAGTCCAGTTCTTAAAACACACCACAGATGCTTATTCTGTGCATTTTGAGCACTTTTTGTGTGAAATTTTTTATTTTTATTTTATTTTGTTGATCAAAAGTGTGCTATTACTTTAATTGAGCGTCAGCAGCGCGGCAAAAATAGACTCTCCGCCGAAACCCCGCTTCAGTGCTGCTCACGCGACGCTCCTTCTTGACTCTCTCGCGGTGTGAACACACTCATTGATTAAAAATACGGCTGTAAAGATATGAAGTCTGTCGGGAAAACAACAGCTTGTCGATGCAGTTCCAACTCCTGATCGGAGGCTATTTAGTTTGTACGTAGAGTTGCGTTTCAACTCAGTTTAATGGAACAATGCAAAAATATGATCTTGTGCACTACTAAATAAATAGTAGTGCGCAAGTAGTAATTAGTCAAAACTAGGCTTAGGGCCAATCCCAATTCTACACCTTACCCCTTCCCTTTCCCCTAGCCCTACCCCTTCGCCTTCCCCTTGACCCTTGAAACAGAGTGGCAATGCGTAGGGGTGAAAATATTCCCCTAAGAAATGGGACACCACTACGCCTCCGTTAAACGTCATTATAAGTCGTCGCTAGCGCCTACGTCACAGGAGATGCGCCGATGTTTATCACAACTTCCAAGATGCCGTCGACAGCTGCCGTTATCTCAGTCGCATGGGTTACAGCTATTTTCTTGCATCTTGTGAAGTTCGCAGGAAACAACGGAGACGACGAAAATATGTTGCGGGACTATCGTTAACTATCGTTAGATTTTTTTTTTTTTTACAAACGTTTCTGTGAAGAAACTGACCGTAAATATGAACACAATATTGAATGTAACATAAAGCAAATCATTATTTGTCGTTATAATACTTATTAAAGCCACAAATACTTAAATTTATGGGTTTCCTTTGTCGCTCGGGCAGCCAGCCTGGGTTAGCAGTGACGCTTCTCATACCCCTTCGTTTGAAGTGTGCTCCCGAAAAATCTTCGTTTGAAGGGCTATCTGGCCCTTCACCCTAGCCCTCCCCCTCCAACCAAAAGAGAATTGGGGCAGCCCTACCCCTTCACGTGGACGCGCAAAACGGAGGGGAAGGGGAAAGTGAAGGGGTAAGGGGTAGAATTGGGATTGGCCCTTAGTTGTAACTTACGCACAGCTGATGCTACCAGCCCCTGGTTCCTCAATAAAGTAACAATATCATGTGTTTAACTTCAATCCTTTTTACATCTCACTATTTATTGTTCATTTTGTCACCCAATCCTTTAGGACTCTGTAAATACCCTTTACACAAAATGTCTTCAGTGGCTGTTGAGGGACTCTCATCTGGTAAGCTGTTTAAGATCGGATCCCTCTAATACGGTCTTTCTTGTGGTGCTGATTGGATAAAATGTCTTGATTTCAGAGGCTTTTGGCGAGACAGGAGATACAGATGACTCTGCTCAAACAAGCAGTGGAGGTCAGGGAAAAACCTACTTGTTATCTTTTAAACTCGTAACCTTGATTTAATCATTAATTTGTATTTGCTTTTCTCCATTTTCAGATGTACATCCATCATGGCATCCATGATCTACTCTTTAGTTATGTTGGGACTCTTGAAGCAAGTCGGGTACTGATAAACCACACCATGCATTAGCTCACTTTCACCTTTGTTTGTTTGTTGCAGGGAGTAAAATTTCAACTTTGATTTCAGTAATTCAGAATGTTTTTTCTTCTTTCACTGTGCAGATTTATATGCTTTATATTGTCATTTTTTTTAACTAGCAGATATCACCATGAAACTTTCCCAGTTGATTACCTAAATTAAGATGAGAAAAAAATATATGACAAGTTTTCTGTAATTTAATGTTTAAATATGCAAATGAGGCATTATCTAATTAAATATGCTCTAATTTGCATGTATTTAAACAAAATCTGAGTATTGGATAAAGCCAGGTTCAGAATTCTCATTGTGTTCACATATTAGATGAGAAAAAAATACAGAGGGATTTATGGATTACTACTTTTGTCATCCTGTAAATCTGAATATACTGCCAATTGCCTTAAAAAAAATGATTTTCGCCATGTTTTTTGGAGTAAAACGTTATATAAATCAGGCTAGGAATAATATATTTACAAATCCCTCTGTAAATGTCATCATAATATAACTAGGTACAAGACTGTAAAGTTTGGTGTATATAGGTGCTACTGAAGTGGACATTTCGGACTTGGAGAATGACAAAAAAGTTTCTTTAAAGATTTAGCATCAACCAATGAGATCGCGCATTTAGAGTTAAATCCCCCCTTTTACTTTAACGATTGGTTGCTGATAAAAAGGAAATGACCATATTTGGATTCGACAGTGTTGTACAGGAGAAAGAGAGCTTTCTAACGGTGTGTGTGATGACGGTGCAGATCGCTAAGCGGCAGGATGATTTATAACGACAACTTTTGAAGAATTTATGAGAAATCTACAGACGCAAACATACAAAGTGTAGTAAAATAAAGACCTAAATGTGTATTTCAGACTTTTGTTCACCACAAGTCTGAAAGAAGACTTGTTATTGAAGACAAATATCCCAAAATCTCAAAATTGACCAGTGAAAAAACAAAAAAAAAAAACAATGTTTTTTTTCCTGCCGTGTCTCGCCTTAAAAAATATTATAAAATGTTTTAATGCTCTGTCTGTCATCTCAGAGCTGGCTGGTTTGTCTTTTATTGAATGGAGAATATTAAAAGTAAAAATACTTCCATGAACATGGCCGCTGTAACAGTTGGTCGTCACTGTAGCAATAGTTATTGCATTAATTTATATTTGTCTTGACAGGATGCAGCTTTCAACAAAACGACGCGATCCTTACAGGAACTGCAGCAGAAAGACCTCGGTGTAAAGTCAGAATTCAGGTGAACTGTTCTCTGCCTAGATGTCTTTTTCTTAACCGTCTGCTAAGCCAAATTACTATAGTTTGATATTGTGTGGGATCAGACAGCTGAAAATCCCGTAGAGTAACATTTAAGGAAGCATCTGCCATAGAGACATGAACATGTTAACTGTTGTTGTGAATTATTCAGTGATCATATGTCTCTTCTCTCTCTCGTAGTATAAATATTCTTCGGGCTAAGAGGGAATTGAGTCAGCTGAACGTCTGTACGTCTCCCCTGCAGAAACTGCTCTGCATAAGGAAAGTTATTTTAACCATCATGCAGTCGACCAGACGCCGAGATACAGGTGCGGTGACCACAAACGTTACTTTTTATCAAAATTCTCTGTATTTTGTTCATGGTATTACCATGGCACTTTTGCTATATTTAGGAGTGAATACCATGTGTGTGTTTGTGTGTGCGTGCGTGTGAAGACTTGTCTAAATTTCCTCTTGTAAACAGTTCTCGTTCTGCATGGCTCCGATAACCGGATTAGCCGGTGTACGCTCATTCACGAACAGTCAGTCCTGTGTTTTACCTCAGACCTTAGTTTTCATGCAGAAACACTTCCAGTGTGTGTGAACTAGAGGAATGCCATCCTAATGTCTGTTTGTCAAACAGCTTGTTTAGTAATTTTCCCCAATTTTGCCACAACATGGCACTGAAGGCAGACAGAACAACAGGCACAGGATGTTCTTTCCATTTTTATACATGCGTTCAAAGCTTCTTTTCTTCAGGAAATAGATTTTCTAACATTTTGGTCAATTATGATAAATAGTTAGATTTATTTAACTATCACATGTCCCTGCCCTGCTTTTTTGAGCATTTCCTCCTCTTAAAAATAAATGCAAAGTCACAACAGTCGTCTATATTGCAACATTGGTAACCTGGCTAAAAGGATAAAATCAGATTAAACTGGTATTATTGACCGATGGCAAACACTTCAGATGGCGAAACTCATCAAACACTTGATGAGTGAAATGGCAAAAACACTTCGGCTGGCAAAACTCATCGAAAACACTTGAATGAAATGGCGAAAACACTTCGGATGGCGAAACTCATCAAACACTTGATGAGTGAAATGGCGAAAACACTTCGGATGGCGAAACTCATCGAAAACACTTGAGTGAAATGGCGAAAACACTTCGGATGGCGAAACTCATCGAAAACACTTAAGTGAAATGGCGAAAAACACTTCGGATGGCAAATCTAATCGAAAACACTTGATGAGTGAAATGGTGAAATGGCGAATACACTTCGGATGGCGAAACTCATCAAACACTTGATGAGTGAAATGGCGAAAACACTTTGGATGGTGAAACTCATCGAAAACACTTGAGTGAAATGGCGAAAACACTACGGATGGCGAAACTCATCGAAAACACTTGACGAGTGAAATGGTGAAAACACCTCGGATGGCGAAACTCATCGAAAACACTTGATGAGTGAAATGGCGAAATGGTGAAAACACCACGGATGGCGAAACTCATCGAAAACACTTGATGAGTGAAATGGTGAAATGGCAAACACTTCGGATGGCGAAACTCATCGAAAATACTTGAGTGAAATGGCGAAAACTCCTCGGATGGCGAAACTCATCAAACACTTGATGAGTGAAATGGCGAAAACACTTCGGATGGCGAAACTCATCAAACACTTGAGTGAAATGGCGAAAACACTTCGGATGGCGAAAACACTTGTCAAAATAGATCACACTCATTGACTAGGCCTTGAGCTGCAAGTAACAAAAAATAGGATTAATTCAATAAAACAGACACAAATGAAATAAACAGTGCTTTAAGTTTATTTTTTAGATGCAGGTCTATTTAGTAAATAGTATTATTGAAATTGAATAAATTGTATATTTCAATCACAATTTATGGTTAGGATAAAGTTAATCCTCTGGGGTCGACAAACGAGCCAGCGCATTTTGCTGGATTTTTTCACATAGCGACAAAATATCAACATAAATATATGCCTACAGAGAGCGCGCCATTGACATCAACTTAGCAAAACTCATCAGTTGTGTGTGTGTGTTGTGTGTGTGTGTGTGTGTCAGAAGGGTTGTGCTGACCTGATTGTGTTTCTCTTTCAGCGGTGAGCATTGAGGCCATGTGTGCCGATGATCTTCTGTCGGTTATTCTCTATTTGCTGATCAAAACTGAAATCCCGAACTGGTGAGTGTTGTGTTCTGTGTATCGTTGTCTCAGGGAAAGGGATTGCATTGTTAAAGGCACACTATGTAAGATTTTTAAAGATTTTCCCAAAACCTTTAGAACATTGTTATATATTTGGTGATTTGTGGACTTGCATCATCCCAAATGTTTCTAAGGATGTTTAAATCCAGAGAAATAAACCGTTTTAACCAGAACACGGATGGTGTCCGTGCGTCGCCTGTTAATGACATCATACCCGCGTTACCCTCGATTTCTGTTTTTATTTTGTAGAAACCATGGAAACACTAAAGACGCTTTAATATATCAGGTGTTTTATTAGACAGGTGAGCAAATGTTTGGATGCATTCATGGACCGAAAATGAATGGTTGTTATACAGCTCAGCACAGTTAGTCTTTTTGTTTTAAACCGCGTTTTCTTGATTTACCGCGAGTACCATGTTTACCATGCTTAATATCATCTAGCTCACCGCAGTGTGCAACAAGTGTCTCACATAGTAGCCGCCAAGGGAACGCAAAGAGTAGCATCATAGCAACTTTCATCACACTCAAAACTATCAACATAATAAAAGTTCCACTGCTCTCGAGCCGCATGTCGCGCTCGTCTCTCATTAGCAATCGCTCCAGCACCTCGTTCCACTCCAATGGCTTTCACAACGTTAAGGCGAGACACGGCAGGCAAAAACGTTGATTTTTTTCATGCAGTGATCAGTTTTGAGATTTTGGGCTAGTTTACTCCTTCAATATGTGTTCTTTCAAGCTGCTTTGAAGAAAACGTTGAAAATATACATTAATATGTTTATTATATTTTGTTTACTTGCACCAGTAAATTTCTCCCGAATTTTCCAAGTTAGCATTCCAGCATGTCATGCTACGCTCCGTCTGTTTACTGAAGTCTGTCATGACCGGTATCGTTGGAAAGCTCTGAATCTCGCGCACATCGCTGTGTAACCCAAATATGGGCATTTCCTTTTTATCAGTAATTGTGAATGTCCAAAGGGTGATTTCAAGCTAATGACAAAATCTCATTGGCTACTGCTGGTTTCTGCTAACGTGATTCGCTCAGACGCATCACATACTCTGGCAATGTTAATTCATTGAGTTACTGCGGTTGTAGGCCTTATATGCCTGCCATGTTATTAAATAATCAGTTTTCATGAGCTTAAAATATTATATATTATTATTACTAAGGCCCTGAGCATTTATTCTGTTTTTGAGAAATTATTTCCAATAGATACTTAAATCGTTTAATGCCTTTTTCTCAAAATGATTTTTTTGTCATTCTCCAGTACAAATATCTCAGCCTATGTAGCATCTATGTACACCAAACTCTCCAGTTATACACTTAGCAGTGTTCTGAAGATATTTTCTGAGGGATTTGTTAATAAATCATTCCTGGCCTGATTTATGTGACATTTTAGTCAAAAACAAAGTCAAAATCGATTTGTTAAGGCTATGGACATTGGACAATATATTTAGATTTCCTAGGTAATGAAAGCATATACCCTGAATTTTTTTGTGTGTGTGTAAACAAAATGAAAAAAAGAATGTTGCACCTGGCTTTATCATATGTTCAGATCTATCTAACGAAAATATATGCAAAATTGCACATATTTAATGAGATATTGCATAATTAAACATACAAATTTCAAAAACTTATAATACATTTTTTTATATTCTTGTGTAAGTAATCAACTAAGGAAGTTTCATGGTGATATATTTTATTTAAAAATGTAACCCTATTCACCTGTTAGTGTCTCGCCTTAATTAATGTTTGAGACATCAACTCCCATGATTCCCCTAAATCAAGGCGTCATCAAACTACTCCTTTATTTTGATAAGTGACCTCTAGTGGTGAAGAATTACATAGTGTGCCTTTAAATTCTCAAGTCACCTTCATTTATATATAGTGCTATTAACAATATAGATTGTTTCAAAGCAGCTTTACAGAGATTGTTTTGGCTTTACAGCAGCCAGAATAAAGTTATTGTCCAGCTAAAGTTAGTTTTGATTGATTGATTCACTTCCATTGCAAAGATCATTAGTTATTAGCTCAGGGGCCGCTTACACGACACCGTTCCGACAGAATTAAGAATGTCTTCAGCATTCTGTTGATTGCATTAATTATATATGCAGAATTTTGATAATCTGATTTTCTCTTCAGGATGGCGAATCTGAGTTATATAAAGAACTTCCGCTTCCGTAACTCCAGTAAGGATGATCTGAGCTACTATCTGAGCTCGTTCGAGGCTGCTGTGGAGTACATCCGCCAGGGGAACCTCACCCAGAGCCCTCTGGTGAGAGCAGACATGGTGCTCCAGACTGTCCACTAATGGTTCGGTGTCTAATTATGACGATCACCCAACATTTGTTAAAACATCTCCTCTGAACATCAATTTTGGCCACTACTGTATATCTCCAAATGAGGGATGCACCGAATGTTCGGCAACCGAATAACTAAATAGACTGAATACATTTTTCCGAACAATGGCGTTTTTGATGACGCGATTCAGAACCAGATCAGAACCCCTGCCTGTACTGTATCGCAACTGTACTTGATCAATGATATAAATATATATATATATATATATATATTAGGGCTGTCAGTTTAACGCGTTATTAACGGCGTTAACGCAAACCCATTTTAACGGCGTTAATTTTTTTATCGCGCGATTAACGGCCTTTTTGTCCTTGCAAACTTTGTAGTTTTTTCACATGCTTTTGCAACAGGACGCGGCATGCGTCATGATCCATTTGGGCGTCTCGCGCTCATCATCCACTCAAAGCCGGCTCACAAGCCCAAACGTGTGTTTGCGGCGTGCCTGTTGTTTTGTTTACGGTAGATCTGCTTGCGCTTTGGTCAAAGAAGCAACAAAACGTCCTCGCGCGGCGCAAGCCATTGAAATGAAAGGGTTTCAGAGCGCAGCGCGAGGACGTTTTGTGCCGCACACACTCGTTTTGGCTTGCGATCCGGCCGAATAGTAACGTTACTTTTGAGTGGATGGCGAGCGCGAGACGCCGAAATGGATGCCCTAAAATTCTGAATGGAAAGTTTACTTTTAAAAAGTTGCCATATTGTCCCATCGACAAGACCAAGTGATCTGTGTGTTTTGTCGTTGTGAACTGAGCGGTCATCATCGCAGCACGTCCAGTCTGAAACACCACTTGATGATGGCCAAGCAAACACACACACACACACACACACAGATGATGCGAATTCTCCACCCCCTCGTCAATATCAGGACCGTCAGTATTTCTTTAACCCTTTTATTGATAGACAGTGTTACATAGTGTGAGAGATTATTTATAGGCTATATGTTAGTGTGAAATTGAACACTATTCCAATGTTATTTTCAATAATAATTTTTCCACTTTTCCATGTTGATAAGATCATTAAAATGAGAAAAAAATATTGTAACAAAAAGAAATCAAGAGACATTTAGAATAGATAAAAATGTGTGATTAATCGCGAGTTAACTATGACATTAATGCGATTAATCGCGATTAAATATTTTAATCGTTTGACAGCACTAATATATATATATATATATATATTACTAATTTATTTATAGAAATTACATGGAATTACATGGCAATTTATAGAAGTTATATTGTGCTTTTTTTGTATATCTGCTGGAATCTTAAGAAAATGTTCAGTGTTAAATATTTTTAAAATTTGATTTCTGTTATTTTTTTATTTTATTTTTTTTCTGAAAAGCAAGACAAAATAGTAAAAAAAAAATGTTTTACTATTTAATTAATGCATTGGTGAAAACATTGTCAAAAATGGAAAAAATTTGAAACACCATGTCCGGCCCTCGGACAAGCGTTTCAATATGATTCGGCTTCAGCCAAGAATATTTTCATTTCGGTGCATCCCTACTCCAAATACATCTATCCCGAATCGAATTGAATCAAGATCTGAAATAAATTGAAGATTGTGAATCTAAATCGAATCGTGTAATGTCAGTACCCAGCCCTTAGGCCTTTAGTTGTTTTTGCTGATATTGAACTTGATGTCAAACATTATGCAATGCTGATGTATCATAAGTGTTGAAATTCAAGCAAAAACAACTTCATATGCATGTTATCATGAAATGTTATCGTGTTGTTAAATCTTGTTAAATAGCATTCGTCGTATTTGTATTAGTATTATTGTAAGTCAAATCTCCATAAAGATTTTGGTCGTATCGCCAACTCTAAATGCAAGCGAATGGCAGCGCATTTACTTAATTTAAATAGCAAGATTAAACTATATTTAATTTAATTATTTATTTATTTTTTATACGAGTAATTTGTTTAACACTGCACAGTTTGAACCTAAAAAAGACACCAGACCCAGTATTTGACCCGATTGTGAAAAGCACCCCATGTTTCTTTAAAGAAGGACACTTAATCCCAGAATAATGAGGCAATGTCTTGACGGTCCACAGGGGTCCGGAGATAGACTGTCCTTCAGACAGAAGGTGGACCTGCTGTCCCAGAATGCAACACCTACAGATCAGCTCTTTGAGGTGAGCATCTTCGGCTGTTTCTGACTTATTTTCGGTTGGCTCAAGAACAGGAAGTACAATTTTATGCTAGTTTAGATGCACAAGACAAGTGTCTCAAATTGTTTTTTGATTAAACATATGATTTATGGTCCCATTAGAAGTTGATACTAAGTGTGTATGTGTGTGTATGGACAGTACATTGTAAGCGGAAATGAGGTCGAGGTTCAGCGTTTGCTGAGCGAAAGCGAGAGTGAGGAGGACGGGAAGAAGTTATGCCACCCGCTGTGTTCCTGTGACGCCTGTGACCTCCACATCTCAGGGTCAGGACTAACAGGCTATCATCCACACCGCAAATGCACAGAAGCTGTTGAAGTGATCCGAAATGTTGCATTAATGCCTTTTATACACAATTACCTGATCTTGAAGGTCTAATGCCTGGTTCAGATTACACGATTTTAGCCCGATTTTGGCACGATCCGTTTGACGTAGGGCGTCGTGGGGATTCATAAACAACAACGGGCGTCGGGACGCAAGATTCGATCGTATCATCTCGTATAGTGTGTCATAGTGGGCGACGACCTACGTCGCGTCTGCGATGCTTCACGACATCACAACAAACAGACTAGCATGTTTAATTTGTTTAACGGTCGCCCACGACGGCTCCGTCACATGTATGAGGTTGACCAATAGGAGCACAGGAGCTTTTCCGTACACAACTTTCAAAAATGGCGAAACGAAAGAGAGACGATGGTGCTAACGTTAAAACTAAAAGTAAAAATATATAAGAAAACAATATTTGACCTCCAGTTCTCTTTGGAGGATTGACAGCCCATACTGTCCTCTTCCAGCAAATTTAATTTAAATTTAGAAAAATATTTTTCTTTCTTTTTTTTACTTTTTTTTCTGAACACAGGACAGCCAATACAACACTCACCGCTTCATCCATTGTTTGTTTACGTTCGTTTCCGGAAGTCACTCGTGACTAGTTTCGGCTTCTCGATAAAGACGGCACGCGATGACTGGGCAGGAAGCAACATGTAGTATGACGTGTCTTGTCCACGACACAACAAGATTTTAGGAGTCAAAATGGCGTAATCGGACACAGTGACTATCGTAACAGACAAAAAAAATCGTGTAATCTGAACCAGGCATAAGAGGCCCTTTATACGACAACTAAATACTAAAAACTTATTTTATGCGTTTCGGACGTTCATTTACACAACATTGGCCTTTTGGGGGCCTGAAGAACAAACTTAAAAACGCGTTTCGAAGTGTAAACTTTTGAAAATAATACTGAATTTGTGAAAATGGTGACGTCACATACACATGCTTATTGCGTGTTCAGTCTATAGATGCATAGTTTTTCATTACATGACACATAAGCATTGTCCTGAACATCATATAAGCATTGGTTTCATGTGTCACTGAACTGAAGAAAGGCACTAAACCGTCACATCCTTTTGATTTTCCCAGCAGTCCTTCACACAAAAATCAGTCTACAGGCTTTCATAGAAGTTTTTTTTTGTTTTTTCGTTAGTACTTATAAAAAGTGATTAATACATACACATTCTTACATATAGCGCCTTTAACACTACAATCTCTATCACACCTCTTTAATTTCATAAATTAATTTTGAGACTGTAATAACAATATGTTGGACTGATGACCAACACAAGTGATAATGTCCTTTCCCTAATTAAAGGTTATAGCATTGCTTTGCTTGTCTTTCTTGGTTCAGGAGATTAAACGACCCGTCCATAGTCACTCCGTTCTCTCGGGATGACCGAGGCTATACTCCTCTACATGTTGCTGCTATTTGTGGTGAGGTTTGTTTTAGATTTTTCTCAGAGAGAGATTTCGTTGTGGTATTTGTGAATCATGAATCTGTAGATTTCACACAGAGTTGGCCAATAAACGTGGTGCCTGTTGTGCTTGTGCGCAGGTCAGTCGCTGCTGATCGATCTGCTGGTGTCAAAGGGAGCTGTGGTGAACGCCACCGACTACCATGCCCTCACGCCGCTACACTTCTCCTGCCAGAAGGGCTACCAGGGAGTCACGGTCAGACCCCAACATGCCTTGTGTCAATAACTATCTTGTAACTGTATGGTTAGTTCCTAGCATGTTAGATTTTAATACATTTCAATTGACATTTATTTGTTTAGCACTTTTCACCATACATGTTGTTTCAAAGCAGCTTTACAGAAAATGCTACATTACAGTTCAGAGTGGTCTGTCAGAGGTGATTGTGTCCAAGTTATGTATTTCAGAAATGTACAAATACAAATCACACAGTTGGCTAATAATGTATTAATTTAAAGCAGAAACAATGAACTCAGTAAAGTACTGAATCCATGTTTGTAGAGCCAGACCGATATATCGGCCGATATTAGTCATTTTCCAAACCAACTGTATCGGCAGTTATGATGGTCGATAAATGAATATTTCAAAAATAAAATAAAAACAGACGAAACGCGCTTGAACCATGTCATGAGTGTTGGAGTTGTATAGTTTGTCCACCAGAGGGCGCTCTACACCGTCCCTGTCGGCAACACTCGTTGAGTTGGTCACGAGTCATACGTTGCTTGAATAACAATTAAAAGATCATCCCCATCTTAACTCAAATAAGCAGGACAAAATGTGTGACTATCATAGGGCTGCAACTAACGATTATTTTGATAATCGATTAATCGGACGATTATTTTTTCGATTAATCGATTAATCGGATAAAAAATTTATTTCATTTTTTTGTTTATTATAACTAAATAAAACCCTAAAAACCACACTCTTTTGTGTGTTAAACAATCTACTTAATGCAGACAACTTCATTATAAAGAAAAACAACAAATAAAAAAATATATATATATGACCATAACCTATGACAAAAATGCTATTTTAAACTAGATTAGTGGATAACTCAGAAAAACTTAGCCTAAAAATATCACAAGTGCACAATAATTTTATAAAATCTGAACATTTAGTGAAAAAAACATTCCTTAGTGGGAAACAAATAAGAGACAATAAGTGTAGCACTAACTCTGGTAAAACGCTGCACATTGCTCTTTGTATTGTTGTTATACATTCATGAAAAACATCGTAAAAATCAGATGCACAGCTGTTTTAAATGTAAAGCACAGCTGTTTAGTGAGGAAGCAAAATATAATAGATAGGACTGAACAAGAAAGGCTATTAATAAGCTTTTATTGCGCAAAAGTATTATGACATGATCATGAAAGAGCTGCACAAAGTGCGTATGCGCATCGCGAGCGCTGAATGATGCGCTTGAAGCAACACGGAGTCACAGGGCGGCGCGCAGCTCTTCAGTGTCCGCCGCATTAAAGTTAAAAGCACCAAGGAAAGAGAAAGACATACTGACTGTGTATTATACAGTATCGTTGCAATAGTTTATTAAGTCTTTCTTTTAACAGTTTTAAATTTCAGTTAGGCTGCTGTGCACGTGAAGAACAATTATACTGCGCCGACTCTACTAGTGTTGTGATCTAACAGACACTCAGTAGAAAGTGATTAAGTTACAGCAATAAAAGTCTAGCAAGATAGAAAAACCATCATAGACCTTTATCTACGGATCAATTATAATAATAACATTGAATCATCTTGGAAAGAGACGAGTTTCATCATGTTAACTGTTGTAACGCGACGAGCTGTTTGAACACCGAATAGAGAATGACTGACAGCCGCAGTGGAGGGAAAAGCTTTGGTTAACTTTAATTTAATGACTTAAATATACATTTCTATCTCACATTATACTATAGTATGGCTTCATAAAGTATACACGATTAACGTAGGTCACCTATTTTGGTTTCAAAACGGCGAATTTGCCGAAATCGAAAGGTGAATGATTTTCGTGTATGCTGCATATTGAGAAGATAATGTGCTCCAAACCGTCCGTGTTGCGCGCGCGAGACAGAAGATAATGTGCTCCGTTCAAACAGTCGGTGTTGCGCGTGCGAGACAGGGTAGAGCGGCGAGGGAGAGAGACTGCGTGTGTGCCTCATGAAGCGCATGTAAGAAGCGCATGTAGCATGTAAACAATCCCCGTGACGTAATCAGACCAACTAATCGATAATGACATTCGTTGACAACGATTTTCATAATCGATTATAATCGATTTTATCGATTAGTTGTTGCAGCCCTAGACTATCATGTCCAGTTTTGCTGCTGTTAAATAAGCCGAGAGTGAAGCCGAGTTAGCTAATAATAGTTACGTTGTGTTGTTCCAGTGTAGTCGACTGACTGTCCTTTTAACTTTTGACAATGTGACTGAAGTATTTCTTTAATAGCGCGTGACAGTTATAGCAATGAGACGTATCATCTCTCCTCGGCCTGTTATATTGACAATTTATGTTTTACAATTTGCAGAATGACCTTATCCATTGCTAAATTATGGCTCATCGTAGACTAGCTAACCATAAAGCTAGCTAACGCCACTATCATCCGTCTGTTCTGTTGTGTTTAAAATGCATTATCATATTATTTTAGTTAAAAGTCATAAATAACTACAAATAACTAATGTTAGGGAAATCTGTTGATGTTTAGTTGCGCGTTTCTGAAATAAAAAAATATCGGCCGATATATCGGAATATCGGATTTTAAAACCAACAAATATTTGTATCGGTATCGGCCTTCAAAATCCATTATCGGTCGGGCTCTAGTTAGGACATTGGTTAGCATTGGTGCATGTTGATTCAGAGTGTGTTTTAACTCTCAGCTCTTCATAATCATGAAACTCCTGTCCCTTATCTGTTGTTTGGTTGCTCTCCACGCTGGCTGTTGTAGCTGCTGCTCTTGGATTATAAGGCAAACACAGATGCTCAGGATAACAGCGGGAACACTCCTCTACACCTGGCCTGCATGTACGGACACGAAGATGTAAGACAGTACACAGTAGTTTTACTTTCATCATTACATTAACTACATTTGTGAATGTCTAGTGTTAAAACTGATGGTGTGTGTATTCTTGATGTAAATGTGTGTGTGTGTCAGTGTGTGAAGGCGCTGGTGTACTTCGACCTGCACTCCTGTCGCCTGAACGTTCAGAACGATAAGGGAGACACGCCGCTCCACATCGCCGCGCGCTGGGGTTACGAGGGCATCATGGAAGTGCTCCTGGAGAACGGAGCATCGACGCTCATCCATAACAAGGCCAAGGAGACTCCGTTACACTGCGCCCTCAACTCCAAGGTTAGATGTGCGTGCAGTCTGGACCAGCGCTGCGCTCCACTCCACTTCCCCTCGGGGGAGGCCCCGCCGCCATTTTATAGTGCCTTCCACTGTGTGACGTGGACAAGTGAAGTTTATATGGACAGACCCTCGATTGATATATAATTAGGTGTTCATTTGCTAGGGGGGAAAAAATCCCCTAAAACGCGTCGTGCAGCCCAAACCGTAAGGCCTAGAGACTTGAAACTCCAAATTGAGGAGAACCTATCAGAGTATGAGCCCGATTGGCCCATAGGTGGCGCTACAGCAACCAAAAGTACTAAATTGCTCCAAGACCGTTTGACTTAGCCTCAAGGTTTTTTACCGATTTGGATTTAGGGCCAAAAAAAAAGTTAAAGGAGAACTCCGGTGCAAAATGAACCTTTGGTAGCTATAATGCTAGTATAACGCTAGTATATGGGGCATAGAGTAATGACAAATAAAAATCGCTTGTTATTACCACTAACAAGGCTCAAAATAGCCCCACACTAACACGACAGCATAATAAGGGTCCCTACATTCAAACCGAAGCATTGAGAACTTTGTCAGTGTCCAAACAGTTTAATAAGAAGATATTTTATACACACAGTCAACTTCGCGAATACAGGAAGAAGCCATCTTTAAAAAATAGTCTCTACCAGTCGATCTACGAACGCCGATCCAAGTGCGCTGAACTGTGCAGAATCTCATATGATCCGTTGTTTCCGGAAGAAACACAAACACGAACCGTTTTCTTCTCTTCAATGTGTACATGTAGTCTACTGCTCGCGCTCACCTGATAACCTTATTCACATCTCTCCAGCGCACTTGGATCGCCGTTTCGTAGATCGACTGGTAGAGACTTTTTTTCAAAGATGGCTTCTTCCTGTATTCACGAAGTTGACTGTGTGTATAAAATATCTTCTTATTAAACTGTATGGACACTGACAAAGTTCTGAATGCTTCGGTTTGAATGTAGGGACCCTTATTATGCTGTCGTGTTAGTGTGGGGCTATTTTGAGCCTTGTTAGTGGTAATAACAAGCGATTTTTATTTGCCATTACTCTATGCCCTATATACTAGCATTATACTAGCGTTATATGCTAAACTGTTTTTAGAGATAAAACTATTTACATTCGGCAATCATGAAAACAAATCTCAGATAACGGTTGACTAGGTAGCAATGTGTAATTAGACCAAAGGTTCATTTTGTGCCGGAGTTGTCCAAGTCGAACTTTGTCCAAAACCTACTTTTGCGAACTAGTCCCTGGTTTTTTGCTCGATTGGAACCAAACCAGTCTAGGCCTATTCTCTGGACTCTCTAGATCAATAATTGTCGAATAAAAAGTTGAAATTTTGCATTTGTTCGGCTACAATAGGGTCATTTCGAATGTGGTCGCTGGCAAAATACAGCCAAAAGCCAATAAATCCCAAAGAAAAAGTCAGAAATTTACAAAAATTGGTGAGCATATGTGTTCTAACATGGTTAGGAAGCATGCAAAGTTTCGTGAGGATCGGATCATAGGTGGCGCTATAATCGTCAAAAAGGTCTCATTGTTATTAGGTGTTCAAGCACGAAGGTGTTTGCATTTGGTTGGCTACAACAGGGTCATTTAGGGTCACACTTGAACATGGTAATTGGCGCTTAATTATTATTATGGGTGTAACGATACCCTCATGTCATGATTCGATACGTCTCGCGATACGATATTATTGCGATACTCCAAGACATATGGTAAAAGGTCAACAAAAATTTTACTGTTGATCAAAATGCTAACTTTGATATTACAGTGTGTTTGTAAATTAATAGTCTTGGACTTGGTGTTTGTAACCCAAGGACAATAAAGAGACACCAGAATAACAATATTCATCATTCTGCAGCTGAAAACACAGAAAAAGTGCAAGAATATTCATCTAAAATAATTCTGAGTAGATATATTTAATATATTTAGATATTTTTAAAATAATGTTGGACACTTTTTATTGGTCAAGCTACACAAGTCAGTTTAAGCATTATCTGGACCCACAAATATCCCCCATTGGATTATTATACACTATAATTAACATTATATATAGTAGTTTAATACAGTACTGACACTAAAACTTTGAGATTTTTTTCTCATACAGTAATTTTTATTTTGGGGAACTATCCACGATACGTATTGTTGCATGTTTGCATTTTATATTGTGACATGATGTATTGTGACACCCTTAATTATTTTATATATATATATATATATATATATATATATATATATATATATATATAATTTATTTATTTATTTATATATATTCATAGAGAATGCTGTATTAAACACATTTTTAGGAAAATGTGAGTAAAAAAAAAAAGTAAAATAATTTCGTAAACTAAGTTATCTGTGTTGCAGATTCTGTCTCTGTTGGAGCGCAAACACAGTGACTCCAGTAAAAGGGAAAGTGGATTTGAGGTGAGTTTAGATTTCAAACTGATGTGTTGTAAAGTTGGATCTTGTCAGTTGGATGTGTTTCTCTTAACCAAGCGTTCACAAACTTTTTAGTTTTTTCAGCCGAACCCCATAAGGGTAAAATATTTACACGAAGTCCCCCCCACCCAGATTTAAAGCATTTCAATCATTTAATGACACGTTCACATATTCACTTTATAGCAGACTCAAACATCTCTTTAGTTGCGATTGTATCTCAGTTTCACATTCACACTGGTGTCAAACTGAAATTGAGCAAAAATAATAAATATTATTATTACTATTGTAATATTGTTTTGTCTAATTATAAAATGTAAGACAGAAATATATTGCTGATGTAAATTTTACTGTAAATTTGTAAAATAAAAATTATATAATTAATTGTAGCCCTCAATCGACTTTTACTTAATAATAAAAAAGGTTTCCTTCATCTCAGTGGAATAAGATTTTGTGACTTTTCATACATACATTATCTATCTATACACACACAAAAACTAGGCTTGATTCGGTTGATCTGAAGGTATGTAAAAAAAAAAATGTTTACAATTCTGGTCTTCGGGATCAATATGACCCCACATTGAAATGAATGGGAAATGTGAAAAAAATTAAATATATTTTCTTCATGTGTCAAAAAAATAATAATAATTTTTTTATAAAATCTGATAAAAATTTCATAAATAAATCTGAAAGTTTTTACACAGAAATGAAGGAGTAGTACTAGAGCATAAATGCAATGTATCATAAAAAAAATAATATTTCATATATGCAAGCTAACGGTGTAGTTGAGGAATGGTGTGGTATATGGATACAAAAGTACTTTATATCTCCAAAAACACAGCATTAATGAATAGATGAGAAGTAAACAAAACAAATTATATATTATTTGTATGATTAAAAATGTACATTTTTTGTACAATTACTCAATCAATTTTTGGGGTCGTATAGACCCCGAAACCCAGAAGTGTAAACAGGAAACAAAGGACCATTTGCAGGTTAAGTTACAGTCGTATTATTTATGTCTGGTTGAATGCTGGAATGCTAATTATCGTCCAGCCTTATTTATTAAAATTTTGCATTCAATGTAATTCTTAGCGTTGCGTCACTGCCCCCACAAACCCCTCTGGGAAACCCCATCCTCGACATTTCGCCACTCATCCGTGTCTCAACCGATGAAGCCATCCTGACAAGTTTCAAAATGTCTTGAGCAACAGAGAAACACGTTCAGTCGACTGAAATTACTCTACAGAATCTTTACAGAGAAAGTGTTTCAGCATCAGTCCTGTCGATCTAACCGTCCTCTCTCTCTCTCTCTAGTCTCCGAGTCGCTCTCCTCCACCGTCTGATTGCAGCAGTAGACGCTCATCCATGTCCAGCTCTTCATCATTGAGTGTCGAGGCCCCAGCGCCGGAGACCGAACGCACCCGACACAAAGAGGTACTGGCAGCGCCATCTGGAGGACAGATCTCAGCATTACACTTCATCATTCATGAATGAGCACACTCCATCTGATATACTTCTTAGTGGTCACTATAACATTTCATGGAAACATGACAAAATTGAAATTAACATACTCATAATTAACATACTTAACAAAAACAGAGAAAAATATGTCATCAGTATCTGTGAAATATGTAAATCAGCCAATTTTGCTTTAAAGAGCCCCTATCATGGATTTTAGAAAATGACTGTTCATATAGTGTGGAATATAGACGAATCCGACGAGCGTTCTGTGTAGGCTGCCATCTTGTGGCGATGTCATTACTGAGCTTTTACACCGGCATAGACGTATGCACCGGTATGTCAACAAACCTCGGTGATAACGCGAACTCACCCTCGATGGCAGCTACAGCCAGGCAGAATGACTTGTTGGTTTGATCTGTGACTGCAGTGGCCTCCAGTCACAGATGAAGGTACAAACGATCTTACAGATTAACGTTATTTATGAAAATAGCTTGGCAAGCTAGCTAGGCTAACGTTTGCTAACGAGGAAACTATAAAAAGATCTGTCCATTTGGCAACAATAAATAAATAAATGAATGAAATCAAATAAACAAATTCACGTTTTTACAGTTACGTTACGTCATGTACGTTACAGCTAGAAAGTAATATCGACCAATTAGTGTTTAAACCATGGAAAGAGGTCAATATAACAGCAGGAGGACAATTATATCGCATAACGTTACATTTAGCTCAGGAAAGCCATTTAATGACCATAGCATGTTAATTGAATAGAAAAACAGCAAGAGAGGAGATTTTGCTGATCACTATATCACATATTTATTATATTGTTTTACTTATGTCATTAAATAATTGTCATTATACGCGAATGTCCGCGTCTTGTACTCGCCCAGGAAATCTGTAAACCATACGGCACCAGACAGGGGCAGTCGACCCGGGGTATTCACAGTGTTTTCTCTTCAAAATTGAAATTTTACTGCCACCATTGAAACAATTTATAACGGAAACTGTTTACCCACTCGACATTATACAAGGGGTAACGTTGCAACGTTAGTGACAGTCGTAAATCGCGGGCTGTTTATTCCAGTGGACGCAAGTTGCAACTAAAACAATAGGCGGCAATGGCGCAACGCCTCCCAGCAACAGCTCAGTAATGGCGCCCCGCTTACTTCCGGTAGTTTCGCCGGATTCGTCTATAGAAAAGATCCTGCAAAGATTTATGTCTGAAAGTGCACCGTATATAAAGTTATTGTCTTTCAAAAGTGAGAGTCGACTCCATAATGACCTCCATAAGTTTAAATATACAGCTAAGACCGCCTTGTCATGTTCAGGGAATAAGGAGAAGGGAGAAGTGAACGTAAAGACAATACTTGATGTATGTATCAGTCTATTGGCAGAGTATAAGAGACGTTTAGTGTAAGAGAATAAGGGTTCATGTTTTATCATGTGATCCCGACTCTTGTGTTGTGTTTGATGGACAGGTGGAGAAGCTGTTGAGAGCAGTGGCTGATGGAGACGTGCAGATGGTGAGCTGATGGTGTCCAAGAGGAGTCCTGCTTTCATCTTGCTTTAGGAATAATAATAAGAGTTCAACACAGAATGGCAGTAGTGTGTGTGTGTGTGTGTTAGGTGCGTTATCTGTTGGAGTGGTTGGATGAGGAGCCAGAGGAAGAGGAGGTGACCGTGCCAGTGAAGACCGAGCTGTGCCATCCTCTGTGCCAATGCTCACGCTGTGAACCGTCACAGAAGGTCTGAACACACCTCAACATCCTCCAAATATATATAGTGTGTGTGTGTGAGAGAGAGAGGAGGGTTGTTTTTTATTTTTATTTATTTTTTATTTTTTTATTATAATTCACTCAAAATGAACAGTAAAATGTTTTAATGCATATTAATAATTCCTGAATAAATAGCAAATTCAAAACTTTGGCCATTAAAAAAATCACATCAAATAAAACAATGGAATAGAGAACACATATTAGTTATGACACAATTTTCATAATTTTAATGTTTTAAACTTTCTTTCGTTAGAATTATTGGGTAGCGTTGAGATAAATCCTAGCTGTGTGTGTGTGTGTGTGTGTGTGTGTGTAGAAAGCAGCCCATCTGCAGGCGGATGGTCTCGGTGTGAACAGCGTCAGTGCCGACGGCTTCTCGCCGCTCCACGTGGCAGCGCTGCACGGACACACAGCTCTGGTGTCTCTCTTCACCCGTCACGGTGCCAACATCAATGCCCGCAACACCCAGAGCGCCACGCCGCTTCACCTGGCCTGCCAGAACAACCACACACAGGTGGGCTCATCACGGGTCACCTCTCGGAAAACAGCTCTGATTTAGTGGCCCCGTTTTGCCGTGTAAATGAATGTCCCTGATTACAGTGTAAGCCAATTTAAACTTGGTCTAAATTAAATCAAAATTGCCCCTTTTTGCAAGGGCACAATAAAAGTGACGGGAAAGACGTAAAATGTGTATCACAGTTTCCACAAAAAAATATTAAGCAGTTTTAAACTAATATAAGCATATTGGAGTGATTTCTGAAGGATCATGTGACACTGAAGACTGGAGTAATGATAATCACAGGTTTTGCATTGAACTATTTCACAATATTACAGGTTTTACAGTATGTCAAATTAACGCAGCCTTGTTGTGCAGAAAACACTTCTTTCAAAAACATTGTATTAACAAATATATGAGCCAGTATTATTATAGTGTAATGTATTTTCAATCCTGTTCCTTATTCAGGTTTCAACATATCAGATTACTTGAAAAAACAATATTAAAGAACCCAAAAATGGCATTTCCTTATGTTTTTCCAAACCCATGTCTTTCTTCCTTTGTACAATAGCTTTGCTACTCTTTTCAATGTAATGTGTGTGTATATATATGAAGAGTTCAGATGCAAAAGCCTCTAAATGCCATTTGAAAATTTCTTCTAAAATGACCATTTTTATCAAGCTTGTGTGTTTAAGTTCAGTAATTTCACTTAAATGACAATTAATAGGTAATCTTCATCCCCATTTAAGTGAAATTACTGAACTTAAATATACAAGCTTGATACAAATTATCATTTTAGAAGAAAATTTCAAATGGCACTTGTATATATATATATATATATATATATATGAAGAGTTCAGATGCAAAAGCCTCTAAATGCCATTTGAAATTTTCTTCTTTAATGATGATTTTTATCAAACTTGTATATTTAAGTTCAGTAATTTCACTCAAATAACAATTAATAGGTAATTATCATTGCCATTTAAGTGAAATCACTGAACTTAAACACACAAGTTTGATAAAAATCATCATTCTAGAAGAAACTTTCAAATGGCACTTAGAGGCTTTTGCATCTGAACTCTTCATATATATATATATATATAATTAAATAATGCAAAAGTAACAAACACATCATAAAACAGGTCCATGTTACTTGTGTAGTGAAGAGTGACCAGAATATAAAAAAATCCACCTTTTGTATTCCGAGAAAGGAAGCCATACATGAGGACGAATTTTCAGTGTGTGTGTGTGTGTGTGTTCCAGGTGGTGTGTGCTTTATTGGAGTGTAATGCCAAACTGAATAAGAAGGATCAATATGGAAATACAGCGCTGATTCATGCTTGTCTAAAGGGAAATCTGGAGATAGCCACCGTCTTGCTGGAGGTACTCTATTTATGTTTATATAACATTATATACACAATAATATGGGTCTTATGTACAGAGATATCATTTGTGTTTATGTATTATGATACATCACTGTACATTGATAGTTTATATAACCAATGGCTTGTTGTTGGTACTCTACAAACGAATGGTGATGTGGATCAGAGCGGTGCGCTGGTGAATCTGGCGAATAGCCACGGGAACGCGGGTCTGCATGAGGCGGTGAGGGGGGGGCACGTCCCGCTGGTGGAGCTGCTCCTGCACAGGGGGGCTCTGGTGCACCTGCGCAACAAGAGACAGAGGAACGCCCTCGACTGCGCTCACGAGACCGCCGGAAAGGTGTGTGTGTTCATTATTCAGCATTCATCTTTAGTAGATGATCAATAAAAACTTTCCTTATCAGCAATTTAGATCATTTAAATTGGGCACCTACTTGATGTTTAACAACATAATTAACATTTATACAAACATCATGAGACACATTTTTATTACTATTTAAAGAAGGACTGAATTCATTAAAGGATGCCCCACATTTTGTCTGACGGCCCAGTCTGTTGTGATTGACCAATCAGAGCAGAGTAGACCAATCACAACAGACTGGGTCATCTGACGGTGTCACTTAAATGCCTCAGCTGTTGGTTTAAATGTTTGCACTGATTCTCTGAAACGGACGTAAGAGTTATCATGATTCTACCAGCAAACGTGAGTTAGGACAGCAGGTTTTGAATAATTTTGAATAAATTACGTTTAAGTGTTTCCCACGTGAGGTACTTTGTGTTGTAAGTCGCCATGATGTTCACACGCGCATGAAACTTGAAATGTGTCCCCACATTAAGTCCTTGAGTTTGAGGGTATGGGCTCTATGCACGGCGGTATTTCCGGGGTGAAGGATTAAGGATTAAGTCCAATGCAATACCGAGAATTTATATTGAATTTTATACTCCATGGCTATACTAAAGAAACGTTAGTCACAAAAACAGATAAAACAGACACCCCTCGTTGTGTTTATTCTTCTTTTTAAAATTATATTAAATAAACATATCTATATATAAAATTACATCTAAACGTATGAAAGTTTCATTTCAAAGACGGGAGGACAGTAAATTTTGAAGACTCCGCCATAATCGTGTTTTCCTCGGTTTTCCTCCGCTTTAATCAACTTAACTAAGCTTAACTTAACTTAATTAAGAATCAACTTAAACAATGGCTCAAGACACATCAAAATTGTGACCATTAAACAACTTTCCTTTCTTTCTGTTTTTTTTTTCTTTCTTTCTTCTTTACAATCGAGGTATATAAATAAAGAACACTGTAGTATCGTGTAAGCGTTTGTATGTATAATAAACCAAATTTAGTATTTATTGTAATTCCAGCATGTATACATAGAATAGCACTTTACTGTATATGTGTAATTTGTCTGAAAACAGTGGTGTCTTTTGTAATTGTTACTGAATTTTAAGGTGTTCTTTAAACTGTGTAGTATTCAATTTAAACTTAAATGTTAGTTTTGTTATATGTTGTTTTGTGATGACCTGACGGGGGACTGCAGATGGAAAGTAGCCCTGGGGCTAATTCTGGCATATTTACATTACTGAAATGTTTATCAATATGCATTGTCCCTTTTAAATAAATAAATAAATAAAATAATCTCCACAACCGGAAACAGACGAGCATCCTTACGTCAAATGCGGAACTTATGCGTGCATATAGCCCATTGTATCCCAATGAAGTATCCCTTTAAACTGTTTGCTTCCCAAGGCATTTGCCTGTTCATGCAAAACCCAATGCTTAGTGCAAAATCTTTGTAATTTAAGTTGATTTTTCTAAATAATCTAAATGTTTATTATGACTAAACCTAACTGTATCTTTACACTTCGATATTTTCAATTCTTACGTTTGTATCACTGTTTCTTCTTGTTGTATCTGTATATGTGCTTTGGAAGCTTCAGTACCAAGAATAATTCCTTGTGTGGCAATAAAACTGTTTCTGATTGTTCTTTTGGTTTTGCACTTCGATCTTTGTGTGTGAATGTAAACGGCTTGCAAATGTTCAGCTATATCACACACTATTGGAAAGGTATTATTTGAAAAAGCCTATTACTATTTTAGACCTTATTCAGAGCAGCGCCATGACAGGTATGAGAGTGAGGCTGTGTTTCCAATGGCATCCGCTGTAAAAAGCTGAATAAAGCGGCTAGATTACTTACAATTTTCCACAGCTTACATTGTCAGGAGTTTTTTGTCAACTGAAATTTCTTAGAAAGATATTTTTCCAGTGTTTCATGAGCAGAACAATCCGAAAACACATTAAATAACAGTACAGCCCATTGAAGAGATGCAAGTCTATCCCTCACAGCCTCGCTTTCATTCTCATTAAAAATCAAAGATGGCGCTGCCGAGAATAAGGCGTATTACTGCCAGTGTCTTCTTACAACCATCGAAGTTGGTTAAGGTTAGTCACACTTTTTAGAAACTTCTTGGATTGCATGTTGTATACAATCTAAAATTACTTGAGGGGTACCAGCAAGTCATGTGTGTGAGAGCGTGAGACAGAGCCTGAATGTGTGAGAGTTGCAACCCTGTTGTTATTATTATACATTGACAGCCCTATTTTAGATATTTCTTTCTTTCACAAAATTGCAAATCTGTGTCATGGTAAGTAGATGTGTCATCTGTACTTGTACGCTACACAGAACACAGAGATTCAGAGACTCCTGCGGAAAGCCTGTGCTGAAGTCCCGGATCTCCGTCTGGTCAAACCACACTCCAGAGGACTAGAGGGCATTGTGGGTAAGAATCCGAGAGTTTTATTTCATCTCTAGAAATGCTCTAGTAGGCTGTGATGTGTTTTTTGGCATATATAGAGTTTTATCAGCTTTCAAAAAGCATCTCATCATCATCGCCAACAGGACACTCAATAGATCACAGAGTGAAACGGCGTGAGAGTCCCAACAGTGGCAGACGAGACTTAGATCACACTAAACAAAGGTACGTTTACTGTCCATTAATGGCTTGTTTATTGATATAACATTGTGATATCTGCACCAGCGGTGTGCTGTGGTGTTCTGAAGTGAGGAGGTAAAGTCCTCACTTATTTTTATTTTATTTTATTTTGTATAAATCTAATGTCCTTGTTACATGTAATGTCACATTTTCCTGGTGAAATATTACCTTACATTACATTAAAAAGAAAATGTAATTCTATTGTGGATTTTTACATTAAAAATGTTATAAGTCAATGGGCTCAGACGAGGCAAGAGAGATGAGGACTCTTGCTGTAACTCCACCTGTTGGTGTCACTGTTGGACAGTTTTTCTTTTAAAAATAATTTATTTATACCTTTTTTAATGTCACGTTTTTTTTTATATATTTGCATTGTTTTATTTTTGAAAATATGGATATGAATTTTCTCATCCAGTTTTTTTGGAGGCACTGCCTCCCTTGCCTCCTCGGAGGAAATGCAGTCAAATCAGTGAACTATTATTACAATTTAAAAGACCTGTTTTATATTTGGAAATGTTTAATTGTAATTTATTTTTCTGAAGAAAGCAGAATTTTCAGTGACTCAGTGTCACGTGATCCTTCAGATGTCATTCTTTAATATTTTTAAGCATTATTTAAGGAATTAAAAGTGAAAATAACAGCATTTATTTGAAATATAAATCTTTTGTAACATTATAATTGTCTTTACTGACAGCTTTGAGCAATATAGTGCGTCCATGCTTAATAAAACTGTAATCTTAAACCTTTAAATAAAACAATCCCCCATTGTGATCATTCACTTGCTGACTAGAGTGACTTCTCCTCAATATGATTTCAAGCTGTTTATGAGAAACTTGTGCTCTTGACAGGAGTCAGAAGAGGAGTGACCGAGCAGCAACCGCCTCAGCAGTTGCACAGGTACTCTTCTGCACAAAATCATTTTATTTTTATTTTATTTTTTTTTCTTTCTCTCTTTTGTATTACATGATTTATGACATGATTTCTAAATGACTGACCGAAGAAATAAATAAATACAAAATACAATTTGGTTCTCTACCTACTAATTATTATTAACATTATCGTCATTATTCATCCAGCCATAATCATCTATATCATAAAATGTAATTTAAAATGATTTGGTCTTCCTTATTGTGCTATTTTAAAGGCTCCTAATTTTCGAGTGTCCTACAATACACTTACATGCATCCAAGGTCCAAAAACACATTTTCTCATAACACTGTATATTCTGCAGCATCAGCTCCTTTCTCAAAGTCCCAATTCAGAGGCTACATCTTTCCAATGCTGAATGCGTCACAACGAGTGGATCCTTCTCAGCCTAGCCTATCCCACGATTCATTGCTCGCCAGCGATAACTATTTTTATTTATTTATTTTTTTTAAGAGAGAGACAATGCTGGATTGCACTTTAAAATGCAAGTATTGTTAGTTTTCAACTTACTCATATCTATCATTCCCTTTCGGTCAGTCTCACTAGAGAGGCCAATCTACTTCGAGTGAAACTAAACAAGCCAATACACATTGTCATGCAATCATTTGCAGCACCTGCGCAGCCTCGCAGTGCGGGTATATAACGAGCAGCTGGTGCGATTGCACTCTAGCTTTTTACTTCAGAACCAAGCACTTTGATGTCTCTACATTGTTTGAGAAACTTCACAAGCCTTTCTGGACCTCTTCTTCCTGGTGCGGGCGTGACAGCACAGCAGTGGGAGAAGTTTTCTCTCTCTCTCTCTTTCTGTCTTTTTTGTTTTGAAAAAAACTGAGCAAAACAAAAAAAAAGCTGTTGTAACAGCTGGTAAGACCTCCAGAAAGAGAGATATAGCGCACAGACAGGTGCACATTCCTGTCTGTGATCGTACTAACTGTTCGCATGCGTACTTCAGCACCAGCGAGAGTAGTCCCTAAAAGAGCTTACACAGATGGTTCACGATATGTGGTCGTTACCTGGGGTCGCGGGATGGTCACGATCTCTGCCTCGTATGTCTGGGCCTCGAACACACTGAGACAGCCTTCGTGGATGAGTCATGTACCCATTGTGGGAAGAGGACCATCTCGGAGCTGCGCTCGAGACTCTCGTTCCTGCAAAGGGGCGGAGTCCACGTGCCTCTGCCTCGTTCAAACCCCTGATCGCGGGTTGCTTCGGGCGGTGACACTGGAGACCTGAGGATTACCGTGAGAGCGCTTCCTTCAGGGAACCAACCCCCTTGGAACCCTCACCCCACTTATGCTTTGAGCTACCAACGGAGTAGGCTGGACCATCCTCGAGGTGTGTACCAGTCGTTTCGTTTGGTGCTCCCTGCGATGACCAGATGTCATTGCTGCATCGGAGGGTGGGTCAGAAGTCTCTGCGGACGACGTCTCGGAGCCACTGCCTCCTTCTGGTGTGTCAGTGGTGCCCGAGAGAACCCGAAGATGATGGCCATGCTTTCCGGGCCGCCAACAGGATCAGGCTCATGTAGAACCCTCCACCGTTTCCAGAGCTCTCGAGGTTGGATGATTGGTATTTCAGGGTGGCGCGTGCTAGTTATCAGCAACCCATGCCAGTGCCCTTCTCTCCGGAGGTGCATGAGGAGCTCACAAGGACGTGGACGGCAGCTTTCACTGTTCTACTATTCCGGTGGCGGCTCCTCCCTCACCACCCTTGATGGCGGGGCAGCTAAGGGATACACGCATTTCCTGCCAGTGGAACGGGCTGTTGCAATCCAGCTGTGCCCTAACTCCACTTGGCATGGAGAACCGTGTCTTCCTTCACGGGCCTATAAGTACTCGTCGGACTTAACCGGTTAGGCTTACGATCCCTGTGGGGAAGCTGCCTCTGCCATGCACGCTATGGCGTTGCTACAGGTCCATCAGGCCAAAGCACTGAAGGACCTGCACAAGGGTGGTCACAAGTTCTCCAGGAAATTCGCGCCGCGACTGACCTCGCGCTTCGTGTGACGAAGGTTACCACATGGTCAGTGGGTCATGCGATGTCCACACTAGTGGTCCAGGAACGTCATCTCTGGCTGTGTCTGGCCGACATTCGGGAGACCGACAACCTCAGGTTCCTTAACTCCCCCGTGTCCCAGACCAGCCTCTTCGCAGTCGAGAACTTTACCCAGAAGTTCTCAGCTGTTCAGAAGCAGACTGAGGCCATCAAGCACATCCACACCTCTTCTAACGCCAGCGGTCAGAAGTGTACAGTCTGAGAACTCCACCGAGCCGCCTCCTGCACCTCCTGCTCTGTGGAACCAGTTAAGTGCTGCACAGCACACGCAGACTCCGCTATGGGCGTCTCCCAAAGAAAGCCTCCCGAGCCATGTCCCTGTGGTCCTACCCTTCAGGCTGTCCCGGTCCCCCGGTGTCTTCACGAAAGTCACGGAGGAGGCCCTTGTTCCCATGAGAGTTCCCAACTATCTCAACGACTAGCTCATACTAGCACAAACTCGAGATCAGCTATGCAAACCCAGGGACCTCGTGCTCAGGCACCTCAGCCAGTTGGGTCTTCAGCAAAACTGGGAGAAGAGCAAACTCACCCCTTTGCAGAGGATCTCTTTTCTCGGTATAGACTTGGATTCGGTCGGACAGACAGAGCGCCTCACAGAGCAGCGCTGGGGTGCCACGTACAATGGGCATGCAGTGTCAGGGAGGTGGACGGATCAATTACCTTGGGTTGCTAGCATTACATCTCGCACTGAGCCACTTGAAAAGGCGGCTACAGGGCAGGGACGTGCTGGTCCGCACGCGACTGTTGCGTACATCAACCGTCAAGGTGGTCTCGTTGAATTTTGCAACTCAGCCGCCATCTCCTCCTCAGAGACACCTCACTGCCCGCTGTTTTACTCCCTGACCGAGGGGACACTCGGCATGGATGCACTGGCACACAGCTGGCCACGGGCCTCCGCAAATATGCATTTCCCCCAGTGAGCCTGCGTGCACAGACACTGTGCAAACTTAGGAAGGACAAGGAGCAGGTCCTTCTGGGGACTCCCTATTGGCCCACCTGGACTTGGTTCCCAGAACTCATGCTCCTTGTGACAGTCCCTCCCTGGCCCATTCCTCTGAGGAAGGATCTTCTTACTCCTGGGCACCCTATTGCACCTATAGGGTTCTAGGTGACTTACCCCCTGAGGTACCATCACTTCAGCACGGGCACCGTCTTTGAGACGTGTTTACATCCTGAAGTGGAACCTGTTCGTCGAGTGGTGTTCTTCTCGCCGAGTAGACCCCTGAAGATGTTCGATGGGGTCAATGATTTCCTTCTTGCAGCAAGGATTGGAGCGAAGGCTGTCTCCCTCCACCCTCAAAGTACATGCTGCCGCTATTTCAGCTTATCACAACCACATAGATGGCAAAACAGTGGGTATGCACGACCTGGTCATCAAGTTTCTTAGGGAAACCCTCCATACCCTCTTGGGACCTTTCCCTGGTGCTTCGAGCACTTCAGGATGTCCCCTTTGAGCCTCTGCAATCAGTCACGACCTACATCTCCGTTCCTACGCTCAGGGAACGAGGGTTACCATATGTAACCGAGACGATATCTTCCAGTCTCAGGTACAACTAAGTTTGAGGGTCAAAGACGCTTTTCGCTGACAGAAATACAGGGTGCATAAGTCAGGACACCCCTAGGTTAAATTCCCATAGAGGCAAGCAAATATTTATTTTAAAAATGCCAGTTATTTTATGGATCCAGGATACAATGCATCCTGATAAAGTGGCCTTGGCCTTTTGGATTTTGCTCCCCAATGAAGACCATAAACTGCAAATCTGTTACAAACCTATGTAGATTTAGCAGGAAGTGAGACTGGAATTACTGACAACTTGTTTCAGTTCAGAATCGATTATTTCTATTCAGAGACATTTATCGGCATTTTGATCTTTGACACTTTACAGATATTTTACTTTATATTACATTACACACTAAATGAAAGGCAATATCCCAAAAAGCTTAATAGGGGCACTTTAAATAGTGTGGTTTTGTTGGTCTTTTTTTAATGGAAATTAAAAAAATAAATATAATAACATGTTTAAATATAATAACTTGCTAACAAGACTCCTGTTTGACCGATTGTCCATAGACTCCAGACAGTCCGAGTGACCGACGGAGACTGATGAGAGGAGAAACGCTGGACATCAGTGGGCCGCAGTCGCCCCAGAGCCACAGCAGGAGCCTGACCCGCTGTCACACCATCAGCCAGGACCTGACCCAGCGCTCGCTCCACACACCCTCAGCCGACCCGCAGGACCTGACCCAGCCCTCGCTCCACACACCCTCAGCCGACCCGCAGGACCTGACCCAGCCCTCGCTCCACACACCCTCAGCCGACCCGCAGGACCTGACCCAGCCCTCGCTCCACACACCCTCAGCCGACCCGCAGGACCTGACCCAGCCCTCGCTCCACACACCCTCAGCCGACCCGCAGGACCTGACCCAGCCCTCGCTCCACACACCCTCAGCCGACCCGCAGGACCTGACCCAGCCCTCGCTCCACACACCCTCAGCCGACCCGCAGGACCTGACCCAGCCCTCGCTCCACACACCCTCAGCCGACCCGCAGGACCTGACCCAGCCCTCGCTCCACACACCCTCAGCCGACCCGCAGGACCTGACCCAGCCCTCGCTCCACACACCCTCAGCCGACCCGCAGGACCTGACCCAGCCCTCGCTCCACACACCCTCAGCCGACCCGCAGGACCTGACCCAGCCCTCGCTCCACACACCCTCAGCCGACCCACAGGACCTGACCCAGCCCTCGCTCCACACACCCTCAGCCGACCCGCAGGACCTTACCCAGCCCTCGCTCCACACACCCTCAGCCGACCCGCAGGACCTGACCCAGCCCTCGCTCCACACACCCTCAGCCGACCCGCAGGACCTGACCCAGCCCTCGCTCCACACACCCTCAGCCGACCCGCAGGACCTGACCCAGCCCTCGCTCCACACACCCTCAGCCGACCCGCAGGACCTGACCCAGCCCTCGCTCCACACACCCTCAGCCGACCCGCAGGACCTGACCCAGCCCTCGCTCAACACACCCTCAGCCGACCCGCAGGACCTGACCCAGCCCTCGCTCCACACACCCTCAGCCGACCCGCAGGACCTTACCCAGCCCTCGCTCCACACACCCTCAGCCGACCCGCAGGACCTGACCCAGCCCTCGCTCCACACACCCTCAGCCGACCCGCAGCCGCTGGCCATGGATGTGGAGTCTGGGGGAAGCCATGTGGACACCGCCGTCACAGAAATGGACAGTGTTGTGTTGTGATGTACCTGATGTCCAATGTTTTCTTTAAACAACTCCTGCTTAATAGACGAAATATAACCCTCTCATAGTGAATCTGTTCCGCCTCCCCGTCCTGGTCTTTACTGTTTTGTTGAAGTAGCTTAATTGAACTGAATATGCAAGGACTGTTTCCAAGCTGAACATATTTCCTCATGCCTTTGGTTTATGAGATGGTAAAAAACAGTTTTAGAGGTTTTAAGTGGAAACTAGAGTTTACTCCGCAGCAAGAAGAGGAAGTTGCTTTTTTTAATTGCACTTCCAAATGTCGCTCTTAAATCACAAAATATAAGAAATAGTTTGCATATGTCAACACTGATGGGTGAAATGACAGACACAGCAATGAAAAGGATCAGACAGAAACCAGCTTTAGTGAGTATTTCGGATGTGTGAAGAAACGTTCTTATTTTATAACGTAGGTTAAAGGGAGACATTTAGAAGAACCTGTACTGAAAGAGTGTGCAGGGTTTTTTTTTATTATTATTATTATTTAAACAAGCACCTAATTTTCTTTCACAATGTCACATTATGAAAAGGGATAATATCATGTAGCAAGATTTTAGTTTTTCTTTACAAAACTGAAGTGTTTCGTTTCATTAATCATATTTACATTTGCTAAACATGCTCTACTTCTAATAGGTAGTTAATAGTGTGTTTTTGTCCCCTCATTTTTCTTTTCTTTTAATGTCTTCCAAATATTTTTTTCTATTTTGATTAATTCCATTGGTCTTTTACGGGATGAATCTCCATTTTAAACTGTCCCTCAAATCTAGCAGTTAATTACACTGATAATAAAGCTGATGAATCACCTTTAATAATAATGCAGATGAATTGTATTTGGTTATTTATTTTTTCTTCTGATTACAAGGTGAAAATGTTGCATTTGTGAAGGAGTGAAGAATTCCTGCGGGATAAATGTGATCTAGGTTCAGCAGGGGTCAGTGTTATGGACCACGGCTCTATTTAAATCATGCACTTTATTCCCTGGCAAGGTTACTGTGTTTGTTTGGTTGGTTTACCAATATGACTTTGCAGTTTACTAACAACACATTTTGAGTGGCAGGTGTAAGTGCATTTTCTACTGCAGGAGTGTGTGTGTGTGTGTGTGTGTATGTTCGAAGGTTTAGATTTAATGCTGGACAGAAAGTAATTAAATATCTTCACACAAATTGACGATGTAATAAAAATAGCTGGCTTGTGATGTGATCAAACATCTTTGAATGTAAGGTTTTTTGTGGGAATCTGATGAGTTAGAGACCAATTATTTTTGTATTCCATTTCAGTTTTTTTTCTGTAACAATGCAGTAAATGTGCCTTATTTAATTTGTGCCAAAGTAATGTAATAAATCCATATTAGAAATGAAGAATATTGCTAATTAATTGGTGACGTCGACAGGATCTACCTACACAAATAGCCATGCAGTGTAACACATTACGACATATTACATAACTTTTTATACAGTAACTTAAAGCCTTACTTTTAAATTTACAAATATATATATATATATATACATATAAATATATATACTTCACCACCTAGTAATGTCTTGATTACTGAATAACTGTTTTCTTGACAAACAGACATGACAGCGACTGTATAGCCTAAATTATTATATTTCAAAAACTGAGTAGAAAATTATCTTTTTAATTAGATTTTGCCTTATGTGAAATTTACAGTGTTGATTATTATATCTAAAAATGAATAGCTACTCAATTTAATAATTTGGGCTATGTTGTTACCTTTAATATTAAATGCGTAATTAAGTGCTCCCCTTATATTTTAAGGGGACCTCCAATTCAGTGGTGTATAAAGAACTTACTTAATAAAACGTAATGTTTTATTACCTTAGAATGAGACATTTATATCTCCATAACCGCTGGAATCCTCTTCTATGAAGGTCGCCATGTTGTGACGTCATATTTTTACCGTAACCGAACGTGAACAAACAGCGCTACAGAACGCGTTTCATCACTATCTTGAAAGAGAAGCAGCAGAAATCTGGAAGCTAGCCATAAACTCCGTGAGTAGTGACTTTTCCCTTGTGAGTGGTGTAAAATATGTAGTTGGATTGTTTCAAGTAACTTAGTTCTCCCTCGCTGTGTTATGGGTTTGTTATGTGGGGATAAATGTGCTGGTATGTTCGTGAGACAGCTGATTAGTAGGCTACTCATGTCATTGACCGTAAAACAGTATGTTACAGGAATCACTAATCCGTCGATCTTGGAAGAGATCTAAGTCAATCGCGAAGAGTTTTCAAAATCAAGGGAAAAGCCTATTGTGTTTAGTAAATGGTGTCTATGGGATGCGGAGGTGCGCACGCTGTTACGTCATTTTTTTCCGCACGCACCTTTGGACTCATGCGGACGCGTCGAGTATAAACAAGGCTTTAAGCTTTAACCAGTTCAGTACTGTCCACAGTAACAGCTCATAGCCAGCTAAACTATTACTACCCTGTTAGAAAACATATAGCTGCATATAGTTTCATGTGGTTCTTCTCCCTCGCTGTATTATGGGTTTGCTATGTGGGGAGAAAAGTGCTGCTGGTAATTACGTTTGCGAGACAATCAGCTGATTACAATTATTATATTAAATTATATATTAAAACCCTTGCCTTGAAAATCCTCACCTTACTATGGCTTTGTAAACTGTATCATGATGTGGTTTATAATGGACTGTGGTAAAGAAACAGTGACAATGTTACACACTCTTGGCTTACTCTGGCTATTTTCTGCTGTCTCAGGCGACAAGATGTTTGTCCCTTTTTAGCAACACGTAGCTTCTTCGAAGGGGAGGGGTGAGCAGTGGGCTGAGCCCTTAGTGCAAACTTGGTGCAAACTCGCAACCGAACCGCTAGATGTCGCTAAAAATCCCACACTGCACCTTTAACATTAACCATTTCTATACATTTTCCTATCTGCACTAACTACATTTCATTGGATCTGTATAATTAGACTGACGGATTTTTTTCCCTCTCCAATTTTGTGTAAAAACATCTAAACTTAGACAAACTCATGTCAAAAAAGGAGATTATTAAAATAGTTGCTTAGGTCTATATTACTGTTCTAAATTCTCTATACGAGTATACGCTAAGGACCTTTATAATGAAACGTTTTACGGTGTAGCTGCTGGGGAAAAAAATCAAAATGAGAAGTACAGCCTCACAAATGTGTTTCCTGCTCCTCTCCTCACATTACCTGAGCAAACATACAGTATCTCCTTAAGAGGCTTCAGCGACGCTATAGCACCTCAGAGGGATTCAGCTGCCAGCCTTTGATAAGGTGCAGCTGCTCCTAATTGGATCTGACAATCCAAACCTGATCACAGCTAAGGACCAGCTTGGGGACCGGCAGCTGTAAGTCAAGGAATGATCAAGGTTTGGGAAGTCCTGTTGCATCCCAGTGCACTTCCTGAAGAACTCAATTGATTACCAGTTTCTTCACTGGGCAGCTACCCAAGACACGAGCACGCAACCCCCGGATTACCCGAGTGTGGAAACACTCATGAGTCAATGTCAGGAGGAGACCTTCTCAGTGGCACTTGAGGCCTTGAAGGCAGAGAAACCTGCTGTCTGAACACACTCGGACCAGAGTTGGATCGCACACTGGGACTGATCCGTGAGGGTGGAAGACTGCGGAAACCGGATGGCTTAACCTGACAGGGTTTTCTCCGAACTCCTTCGCCACTGTATCCTGAGAGGCAGGCAAGCAGTAAGGCAACATCAGAGAGAGTGTGGTGAGCCAAGCCGACTATGTCTATCATGGCTGACTTACCTTTAGCTCGCTGGCACCTGGACCAACCGCCCTCTTCCTCAACTGGAGTTGACTACTGTGGGCCCTTCAGTGTGAAGATTGGCCACCACACTGAAAAGCGATGGGGAGTCATCTACAGGAGCTTGACGACCAGATACATTCACCTTGACCTTCTCAACAGCATTGATATGGATGCATTTTTGGCCCCCATCTTCAGAACCCCATCCGACATCTTCTCGGATCAATAGACAAATTCCAGAGGAGCTGAGACCAAGCCGAGGGAAGCCAAAGTAATGGAGCCAAAACTGCAAAAGTTGTTGGCTAGTTATCAGATCAACTCTAGGATGAAACCTCCCGGACACACTTCAAGGTGCAACAGAGAGGGAGATTCGATCAGTGAAGTCTTCCCTGCGGGTAGTTATCGGGAGCCAGTCGTTCCAGAGGAAGTGCTACGGACAGCATTGATTAAAGTTGAGGGCATTCTCAACAGCAAACCACTGGGATACGCCTCATCCGATGTTGCAGGTCGTTACCACAAACATGCTGCTTATGGGGCGGCGAGATGCCTCACTTCCCCAGGTAATCTGCACTCCCGAACCGCTATACAAGCGCCATTCTTCTTCTGATCATACTACAGGGGTTGGACAATGAAACTGAAACACTGGCCAATATTGGAGGTTTCATATCTATATGCCTGGCGGCCAATCTTCAGAGTGAAGCACGGGTGGATCAGTGATGGTTTGAGCTCCAATATCATGACAATCCTGATTGTATTTGATGGACACGACACTGCCGAGGACTACCAAACACTTCTGGAGGATCATGAGCACCTGATGCTCAAACCGTGTATCAGCATGATCATGCACCAACACACACAGCAAGACTTGTGACAGAAGGGTTTGATGAAGATGAAAGTGACGTTGAACATGCACAGTCACCAGATCTGAATATTATTGAGGAGTTTTGGAGGAGCGAGTCCACCAGTATCATATAGTGACCTGGACACTGTTCTGGAAGAGGAACGGCTCATAATCCCTCTGGTCACTGTGAAGGACTTCTATCTGTCATTCCCAAGATGAAATGGTGCTGTATTTGGATGCAAAATGAGGCCCTCGCCATACTAACAAATTATTGTGTTGTAAAACCAGGTTTTTCAGTTTCATTTTCCAACCCCTGTATATTCGACATTACCTCCTAAGCTTCCAGACTCGCCAGAAGAGGCAGTGAGAAACCCAGGTTTTAACTGAGGACATGGTGGGGATGCTGATGGATCCGCAGCTTCCCAGAGCTCAGTGGCCAACTGGTAGGGTTGTCAAGTGGATGGACACATTCGCTCAAATCAAGGTCAATGACCATCATACCTACGACCTGTGGCCAAACTGGTCAGACTTCCCGCACATCCGGGAGGAGGAAGGCTAGTTTCCAAGTCTAGGGAGTTTATCTCCACACACAAACTAATCTGGGGTCGGCTGTTCTAAATTCCCTATACGAGTATACGAGAAGGACTTTTATAATGAAACGTTATGTTACGGTAACGTTATTTTCCGCCATTCAGCTGTTGTGTGTACTTTCACCAGCTGTTTCTTCAGGTGTTAATGTGATTGAATAACGACTACATTCAATATCTTGTCTGTAAATTAGAAAACTCCGTACAACTGGAAGATGCCAATGCGTGTGAACATTCAAAGCTATTAAGAGTTTAACAGTTCCCTGTCTCCTGTCACGCCTCTAACCGGAGCCCTGTAGTGCATGAGCATTCACCTACATAACCATACAGTCTGCAATAATTACAGTTAAACTCCAAAGAAATCGCTGTACATTTTCAGTCATTCCGGAAATTTGTTCTGTGTAAGTCAGCTTGTTCTCATCCGAAGGCATTATATACTGATGCTTTTGACATTTCGTCTACATCCAACGCACATGGCACTCTTTAGCGTCAATATGAGACGCAGATATGTATGGGCCAGAAGGCGCCTCCTAGTGGTCTATCCCTAACCCTACCCCAGAACTAAACCTACCCATAACCGAAGCGTTTTATATTGACGCTAAAGGGTGCCATATGCATTGGATTTAGACGAAATTTCAAAAGTGTCACTATATGACGTCTAGGATGAGAACGCATTGAAGTATAGACCATTTTGCAAGATGTAAACAACACTTGTCCAGAAACACTTCCTGTTTCAGTTAGTAAATGGTTTCTTTATTTCAAATGTAAAGAAAACATCTTAAAGCTGTGTTTAACTTTTTGATTCAGTTGTAAATGTTCTGTTGGGTTTTATTTTTATTACAACGTTTATGTAGTGTTAAAAAACTGAAACAGGAAGTGCGTCTGGACCAGTGTTGTTTACACATCACAAAATGGTTTATATACTGTACAGTAATATGCACAGTAATATTTTCCACATGTTAAAGGTTCTCAAAGCGATGGGTGTTGACGTTCGAATATTTTCAAACAAACCGGAGCTAGACCCTCCCTCATCCGCATCTCATCTCCTCCCCCTCCCTTCCGTGCTTCCTGAAATAATTGTGAACGTGCATAGTTCTAGCTAATTATATCCTTGTGTGGGTTTGGCGAACATAAGCGTCAATTTAGAAGAAAAAAAACAATTTAACG